CAGATAGCAAAATGCCTTCATGCTTTCAAGCAAGCTTTTCCAGAAGGTATCAGTAAAATGCTATCCAATTTCTAACTTGGGGCAATAAACGCTAATGTAATTCAAATAACAGACCATAAAAAGAAGTAAGAAAATGAAGGAAATTGTCTTTGGAAGTAGTCTTAGACTACTGTAATTTCAATTTGCCACTACTGCTGGATTCTGACATAAATCAAAATCACTATCAGGCAGCAAGGAGAAAGCCAACGTGTTTGCCTTACACACTGAAATGGCCTTTTTGCTTCCAACAATAATGGAGAAATCAGCCTATCTTTTGGAACAGAAATGGCACCATTATTATATGACCTGAAAATTAGCTTTTTACCTCTCTCAAGAAGATACAAACAAATGCTGTTTATTTATATGCTTGGGTAACCTTTTTTAAATCTACATTGGCATTATGCAGATTACATGAGCAGGGTTTTGTCAGAAGTCTGCTTAGTGTTCATTGCTATGTATTGGTCTTGGCTAGATGGACACACACAAAAACCGTATCTGCAGGAGGCTGCAAAGACAGACAGTTCTTAAATGGTTGAACACCTTTGCAAAAAGCTGCATTCTCCTTAAATGAAGTCGGGAAGAATCTTGTTAGTTCAACTCTGTCTGGGGTAATTGTGGAGCCATCATCATGGCTCCTTCACACCACCATGTTCCTATACCAAAGGCATTCTCAGATAACATTCTGTGCCAGCTACTCTGCCACTTGATTTTTGGGGACAACTGGGACAGAAAGAAATGAAGCCCCTGTACTTTACCTTTATAATCAGGGAATTTTCCACTTGCTGATCAAGGAATGATTGTCAAAAAAATTAAGACTTAAAAGTATCTTTACAGGTGTGCATAGGCAATGTATAGGACATATAGGAAGGGCTTTTAACTACTGTTTAGCAACAGTATAGCTTAACAAAACCAAAATAAAGCAAGCTAAAATCCTCGGTTTCTGGTAAGCCTGTTACAAACTCTTCCTAGAGTCTGTATATTTAAAAGGCTACATATTGTATTATATTACATTGTATTACATTAACTATATTCTATTCTTTTCTATTCTGTCTTACTGCATAGAGGAATGTTGTATTGAAACTATGACCTGTCAAAACGCAGGATTACCATTTGACCACAAGGTGGGAGCATTGCTCATCACACATACCCAGGGCACACGAGGCTTTGTCTGTATGTACTAGCTGTTAAAGACACAAATATCCTGTATATTTCTGTGCTTGCTATAACCTGCAAACGAGCATGTTACCACTAGAATAATAAGTTACCAAGACGAACACAAAATTTAATTGTCTGTAATTGCGAGCTGAAAAAGAATGTTTGAATAAACTGTGTTTTGGTCCCCAGAATAAAGAATTGCCCTGAAAACTTTGTATTAACATTGCAGAATCTTTTCCCAGTAGCAAAAAAATGAGGAGGTGCTACAGATAACCTGTGAAAGTCATAATCACAGAATCATAGAATAGTAGGTATTGCAAGGGACCTTTAAAGGCCATCTAGTCCAACATCCCCTGAAATCAGCAGGGACATCTTCAACTAGATCAGGTTGCTCAGAGCCCTGTCCAACATGACCTTGAATGTTTCCAGTGATGGGGCTTCTACCACCTCTCTGGGCAACCCGTGCCAGTGTTTCACCACCCTCATCGTAAAAAATTTCTTCCTTATATCCAGTCTGAAATGAGGAAGAATAATTTTCTCATTTGTTGCCAGTTTTGCGAGTTTTGTGAATATAGATAAAAATTATTTCCATGTGACCACTTACAATTTTCCATTCCAAGTGTTGAAAAGCAACTATTTCACATGGGAAAATCAGGTTTTCCAAAATGGTTTAATAATGTTCTATCCCACAGGAAACATTTGATGAACTACTTGTGCTGATGATGGGCTGTGTCTTTATGTGGGAAATGGTAGCCCCATACCTCTTTTTTTGGAACTGAAGAAAGGGCAGTACTGAGTAACAAGAAGTATCTCCCACAGAAAAAAAAAAAAAGCCAATAATATGAAGATTAGACTAACATGAGAACTGACCAGCCTACATTCGAGAGACTTGCACAGGATTTTGAAGCAGTTAAGACTGAAATCTAAGGCATGACTGCAGATTCATAGCCACCCTCAAGCTAGCTTTAAAATAGTTGGCTTTAGTATGGATAGACTCAGTCATATGAAGCTCTGGCTAGATGCATAGGTAGTTCCTTGCTGTCCCAGAGAGCCTGATCCCTCTTTCTGGAGGCATGCCCCCTTAACTATTTCTGGGTAGCTTCAAGGTAGCTCTGACACAGAAGCTGCATTTCATACCTCTGACTACAGTGTAGCCAAGCAGCTTCAATATCTTCGTGTCCACATGGCATAGTTATTCTATGTGTCCCTGGCCACTTGGTTCCCCATGTAGCAGAAGGACAAATGTATTAGAAACATTTTGATATGTATGTATTCCTATAGCAAGGTGTTACAATAACTTCCTTTGTATATGCTCAAAAAGCAACTTGGACACAGATCCTGCAAAAATGTATGCAACACATACTCTGCAGCTTTCTTCTCCGGGTGCAGGACACCTGCGCAGTGGGCAGGGTAGCAGACCGACCTCAGCTGAGTGCAGGGCTCTAGCTGATGCTAATGGGTGGCGGTGAGAAAGCTGAAGTCCTCATTGTAAATCTACACAAATGGGCACCTGTTTAATACAAATACACCCCAGCTACATACTGAACAGAGGCTGTAAAACCCAAGTACCCTTGACCCTGAAAAAAGTCCAGGCTGAGTTTCACCCACCAGCAAACTACATGTGGTGAATACATTATAGCTGTAACCTCAATCTTTCTAACTTCCCCGCTTAATCTTTTTTTCCAGCATGTGGAAGACTATGTACTGGCACATGAGAAAGCATATGTTTGGCTACACATTTCAGCGGTCTGCAAACAGCTATGTATTATCCATGGATAATGTTCCTTTTTCCACACCCCTCACACGGCTGGTAAGGAAATTTGCTCTGGAGCGAGTAGCGGACAGAAAAGGTTGTGCAGTATTTGTCAAACAGAAGTGCCACCCTAGTGCTTTCCTCTCTAAGGTGCCTCATTCGCAATTTTTCTCCTGATTTCATCAATGAGACCATTAGCTATAAACTGTCTCTACAGCAACTGAATGAAAAACATTCAGCCTACAAATTGTCCTTGCATGGTTACAGTTGCTTATTCACTATAATCAACTGGTCCCATGGTATTGGTCTTTTTTCTAAGGGGATGAGCAGAACATTTTCTTACAGGAGAACAAACAGATATTAAATAACTAACATCGCACAAACATTAGTAACTTGCAAGCAACCGACTTCACACCCTCAATCTTCAAGGCAGTGTGAAACATTCACTTCTTGGTTCTCCAGCCCAGCTAAATAGGTGCTCCTAATCTTTCAAATGTAACCTGGTCCTCAAAGGTAGGGATTCCCAGGTCTAGTCTCTTGGCCGGGCTGATGCTCCTGAGTCTTCCTACAGAAGCCCCAGTGTTTCTGCATCCACCTGGTCAGGCCACAGCTGCAGCCTTCCAGCACAGCCACTGCTCAGCTGTCACCCATCACCATTCTGCCCATTAATTCTTCTGGGGCCTTGATAGTTACATAGAGCTTTGCACATATTCACGAACATCTGAAGAGTCACACGTTATTTGAGTGCTTAACTTTTGCATGACTGCAGAAAGAGTTGTGAATGGTACTTTTTCAAGACTGTTTTCCTGACAGACACTTAACTCAAATGTGTAAATAATATGACCTCTTAACAAAATAACTGAATTTTCCTACACAATTGTTGCTAAGGGGTTTCTTTAAAAAAAGTACATATTTTGTGTCTGAAATTAATAAATGCCTCTAGATGAATTTTTCTACATTTTTAGTTGAGGTATCACATTTTCTTCTTATTTATCACTTCACTAGTGCAACAGGAGTTTTAAGCAACTTCTTAAAAGGAAGTAATAAAAGAAAACACGGTATCATTCTGAACCGCAGTACTTACAACAAGGTTGTCTTTCTTGACCATCAAATCAAAGTACTGTATTATTTACATTTAGGAATAGCTGTGTTTCAGTGGATTTCACTGAGACATACACAAAGAAAATGCTAACTCCAACATTTGGTTCCATTTATTTTGCTACCTAATACTTTAGCAACTGCTTTTGGAGCAATGTGGGTTTAGATACTATCTCAGAGCACTGTGGTACACAGCTGAGAAGGTACAAAAGAGTAAACAAGTCACAGACCTTAGAGTCAGTTTTCCACTTCACTGAGGCTACTAAAACATCGGTGGACCTCTACACAAGGCTCAGACTCACTTGAAATTATTCCCAGATGCACAAGAAACTGTCCTATGGATTAGGATTGTTTCAGTTCAACAATGTTTCAGAAACGTCCCCTTCCTATAGCACCCTTAATAGGATCTCTCTGCTGATGTGCTCACTCCTGCTTGCTTCCCACACCTGTGGTTCAACAGCGCTTGGCAAATTCCCCCTCAGGCAATTAAGTCAAGAAAGCTTTGTGTTTGCATTGGCATAGCACAACACACAATCATGAAAAACCGTGACACCTTCTGCAGGTGTTTTCTTAGCTCTTTTTTTTGCATCTCTCATGCAGCCTGTCCTAACAGAGCAGAATACAGCCCAAAGAAAATCAGAAGGATAGAACCTCACGCATCTGCATTTCCTATTAAGAAACTCCAATAACGCAGGACTTTTCTTGCAGGTACTGCACAAAAATTGATGTATAAGGCTTACCAACAGAACAACTAGTGGTGTTAGGCATTATGTGAAAGGAATGACTTTCCCCCAGAATGCCCCAATGGCTTTTTTCAAGCCTAATGACTATTTCTGTTAAGTCTGTTTCTGATTACCACATAATTTTGTGGTTTTAGAATAAACTGCAGATGTTTAGGAAACAAGAGATTGCACATTAAAATGAGTGACAAAAAGTAATAAAATGTTCTCCTTACCATCTGTTTTCTTTGATTCCTCCCCCACACTGGACGGATCTTTTTTGTCCAACTTATTGTCTTCCTTTAATTCACCTAGAAAAAAGCAATAAGAAACACTATAAGCATTTTAATGCAGGCTGAAGTTTATTAATGGCTGTAACTCAATCAAATTGCAACATCCAAAGGAGATGTGCCTTAGGAGAAAAGGTCTGAATTCACAAGGAAATGGATGAATACATTTTCATAGTATTAAGCACCAGACAAAATTTATCCAACTCCTACAGAAAATCAAGCTTTACAATCTACTTTCAAATTTATTCTAATTGTTAACACCTTTTTAAGTGCACATGCAAACTCCTACTCCATCTGGTTGTATGTAGGCCATTAAAAACCTGAGCACAACCTTAATTTCTAAATCAAGACTCTGAAACATTTATGTCTTCAAAGGACTAAGACCCTGCAAGGCTTCATCATAAGTCTCTGCATTAAAGAACCACCTTAGATATCCCAAAAAGTCCTATGTAACTTTGTCTTACTTTCTCTTACCAGTTTCTTCATCCACAGATTCATTTGGGTTGGTCCCTTGATGATGGTATCGGGGAACAATCATCCTAGCATTGATCACTGCCTTTAGAGTCTCTGTAGCAAATGAGGAAAGCAAGGCCTTTGGCAGAGCAATGGTTGATGCAGAATGAAAATGACAGCTTGAGCTGGGGTGTATTTTACGAAGTCAGGAAGGTTAACCAGTCATTGTCATTTTCTGTCCTCTATTAGTGATACAGATCTTCCCAGACCATCCCTTCATTGAATGAGAATGCCAAATGCAAGACGAAATGAAAAATAAAGCAAGAGCTCTAGCAGAACAGGGCTCTTTCAGCTGCAGTGTCCAAACAGCAGCAAAGAAGGTGTCCTTCCTTCAGATGTCCAGAGAAGCAACAGCACCGTGCCAGAGGGGAGCAGGCAGCTTGTCCTTTCCCCCTGGAGGAGCAGCAGTGAATTTGTGACCCACACTTCAACACAAAAAGCTATAAAATTCTCACTTCAGAATTTTGTAAATGTGAGATATGTTACAGGGCTGTATTAAAGTGATGCTTATTCCATTTGTATTACTATTTTTGTTACTAACACTACTTCCCAGCCTTTGGATCAAGATTATAAGTATTATGTGTTAAAGAGGATCTAATCTGCCTTCGAAATAGTGAAGGTCAGTGGATATTTATCTTTGGAACAGCTCAAAAAAAGAGAAATTGTAGAGAAGCAAGATCTCCAACTTCCACATTGTGCCCTAACCACTGGAATATTTGTTATTTTTGGATGACAGAGGATTGATCTCTCTCTTCAATTAAGCTTCATCATAGTATAGAAGAGAAATGGTTTTCAAATCCTAAAATATTTAACAAGATGGAAAAAAAAAATGTCCTGTTCAGTTCTCATTCAGAGCCAAAACTTTTCACGTTTTTTTTTTCCTAAGCTCACTGTGTGGGCAAGAGAAACATGAAAGCAAAATTATACAGGACAAACAGCAACCTCCTCAGCTGATCACACTGCCACTGACTTGGGCTCCTTGTCCAAGAGGTATGAGCAGCTCCAAGCAGGGCTGAGTTGTCTGCTTGACAAAGGTGGCCTCTAAAAGAAGGACAGTGTCTTCAGGAAATTAAATGAAAATGTATCCAGCAAAGCACAAAAGTCTTCTCACGTCTCCTCCACCATCATATGGCTGATGGTAATGATGAGCTAATAGTGCTTTATTTGACCACATAAAGAAGTTGCTTGACCCTAAGTGTGTGCAGGAAAAGATGATGAACATCCACACATACATTATTTCACAGTTTGAGCTCTCTGAGAAAGCACACGGGCAGGGAGTGACTGAGAGAGACTTTAAACTCACCTGACAACACAATTTCTGAACTTTCATTGAATAAAACTTATTATGAATAGGAGACGTTTGAGTATTGTAATATCTACCATGCCATACTGCCAGCAACAGAGCAGAATGATGATCATAATGATCTCTTTGAAAGGGATTACAAAGGCAGAGAAGTAATGAGGCAAATACTTTATGATGAGATATTAACATATAGGCGTAAAGGAAGCTGTAGTGAACCCAGAGATATGAATGTTAGGATTTTACCAGTCTCCAAAGACTCTGCAGTGATTGTACCTCATAAAGGCCTTTTCCTATAAAGTAAGGAGCAGAACTTCTTTTCCTGAGGAAGACACTAATCTTCAGAAATTATTATAACTCCTTTCAAAGCATTTTTGACACCTTCAGCAGAGAGATGCTGCAGAAAAAGGTACTGTCAAAACCACTACAGCACACTTAAGCCCCGTATCACTAGAAGCATGGAAAACAAAGGATTTCAGAAGAAAAGTCTGATGCAGTCTAACTGGCACTTCACATGCCCCCAGTCTTTTTGTCTTCTTGGGGGGCCCATCATTATTCACCCACGTAACACTGTCTCAAGACAAATCCCTTACATAACAGAGCATGACAGCTCAGATCCCCATAGTCCTTCCAACCTAAAAAAAAAACAACCGATGATGAAGGGATCACTGGGAAAGGCCAGCAGCCAAGTGAAATACATGAGACTCATACTAGGAATGTTTCAAACAGAATTTCTGCCTCCGCTGCCATCTAAACTCACTGCCTGAGCTTGGGACTTTCAGAGCCTGTATGCTCACTCAGCCTTTTTCTAAGAGGATGCTCAAATCTGAGTTTTTTGCTGGTTTTGGACTGGCTGATACTAGCCAAGCTTGTGACAAGTCACATGTGGCTGTACTGCCATTTTTTGATAATGGCTTCAGGGAGCAGGAGCTGGGGAGGGAAGGACAGGGAAATGGCCAAGAGACAACTGATCTGTTCTCACAGTTCTAATAATATTTTTTTTTAATGTTTAATGCAATTTTCAAAAATTTTTTCGGTGTAAAACATGATTCTTATTTTAAGTTCTACAAGAAGTTAAAACACTGGAATAAAATTTCAGATAAAAAAAAATTCAGAAAAAAGACTTGTGACTGCTCTAATAAAAAACTGAGTAAAGGAAGCACAAATAAAATAACTCTTAAAAACAGAGGGGGAAAAATCCTCTGTCACAAAGCATATTTATATCTGAGACTCAGTTCAAAGATATCCTTAACTGGCCTTAAAAAGGGTTTACAAGGCAACTTCGGCTTCTCTGTCAAAGCAATGAAGCTGTCCATTCGACCAAGAACATTTGTTTCAATTTTTTTCTACGAGAAAAGTAATTTTTGCCTTTCCTCCAAAAGTGCCCAAGCAAGTATGATGAACCCCATCTTCTACGGAAGAACACTACTTGGGAATTAATTTACAGTTTCCTATTCTCATAAGCAGGTGACTATGCCAACATCCAGGAAGAGGCTCTGGGCCCAGGACATCCTTTTTCAGGACATTGGGTTCCTGCACCCCTGAGGTGAAATACTGATTTTAGGGCTGGATTTACGTTTCAGTGGAAGGAGAGAACTCACCATTCTGGACATGTTGTTTCTCTTCTCCCACTGTCTGATGAGAGTCCATTCCCTTATCTGTCCTAGGTGCATTTTTCCCTTGAGAGGCTTCGTGTTTGTTCACCCCAGTTTGATGAGTCCCATTTACATGATTCTTATTGGAATCTGCACTTTTGTTTTCCCCAGGATTCGGTTCTTTGCTGTTCTCTGTCTTTGCTGCTGTGGCATCTTCAGCTGGCTTCTTCTCATCCTTTTCATCTGTTTTCTTTTCATCTGTTCCCTGATGAGCATTTTCCTCTGCTTCTTTCTTAGCTTTTTCTTCTGCATCCTCAGCAAAGGGAGAATCAAAACAAGGAAAGAAATCACAATTATCAGTCAATTTGACAAGAATGATACAACTCATGCATCTAATCTACTTCAACTTTTAACAGGCAAACAGCTTTTACTTAGATAAAGGTAGGAATTGACTTGACAAAAGAAAAAGCATGGGAGAACATTTAAGAAAGTATTTAGAAAAAAACATCCCATGTTGGCCTAAACATATATTATGTGCATGTCCTTTTTTTACCATATAAGGTTCACTTTTGAAAATGTGGCTCTTCAAAATGCTTAAAAAGCAAATTAAGAAGAGATATTAGCTATTGAAGGCTCTAGGGGTGCAAAGGTTAGTTCCATTTTTGACACACAACAATCAGTCAAACGACATTTAATTTATCTCATACCATACCATGTAACTCTAAGCACATAAAAAGTCTTGGTTCTTTGATAGCTACTTTTTTTCCCTCTTGTTCCAGGTTGCTTCCAATGCCAGCTTCCTAATTTCTTCCATTTATCATTATCCTTTCTTTATGCCTCTGTCCTTTCTTGGCAGTCTAATACATTGGTACTAGTACTTGCTTTTCCATCCCAAAAAGTCTTACAATCAATCACAAATATGCAAAGGTATAAATTCAAAAGTGAGTGTTGAACAGCAGCAGCATCTCAAAATACTGCCATTCAGGAAAAAAAAAAAACAAAAAACCAAAAATCACACAGAAGCCAATTTCCCCCATTCAAGATACTGCTCTTGTTCTTATCCAAACCTTAGGTACTGATGTAACACTTACAACCTAGGCTGCAAGTTACCTTGGCTCCAGGTGCGGAGACCACTACACTTCTAGCCCAGGTCAGGTACAACACACCCCCACAGACTCAGCTGCAAAGGCTCTGTGTGGTTTCCCGCATCACACTGGAAAGCAGGACACAACCACAGTCCCTCAGTGCAGCCCTCGAGCTAATAAACATGGCTGGGCGTGCACAGACTCTAGGCAGAGATTCCATAATTTTCTCCCCCTTTTCCATGACCAATAGAGACTTAACCTGCAAAAGCAGCTGAGTAGCTCAGCACACACTCAATTTGGAACCTGTGAGCTTACACAGCTTCAGAGCATACCTCTACCCACACTGAGTCTAAGCATTCAGCTGTGACCACCCTATGCCTGTATTCAAGATGTCTGGGTAATACCCAGGCCCACTCGCTACCCCACTGTAAGCAACTAATTGCACTTTAATTGTGATAGGAATCTCAGATACATCTCCTGTTTTCTGAGAGACTGTGGAAGCTGATGAGCTGATAAGCAGAGGAGCAGATCCTACAAAATAATGAATAAAGTCTACCTCAGTCCTACGAAAGTACTCTTGACATCTATTGCGAAGATGTTTTGTTCCTCACAGGAGCAGGGTCTTGGCCAGTGAGTAAAAATCACAAAAAAATTTCTAAGTGTCTTGTCAAATACCTCTCATGAGTGAATCAGAACCAGTTTTGAGAAAAATGTACCAATGGGATACAAAAGAGAAAGGGGGAACACCATCTTTATAAGAAATGCCAATCTATTTCCTTGCCAGAAGCTAACGAAAGTTAATGAATTTTAAAATTAATACATTATGGCTCACACGAAAATTTAATTAAATTAGATATGAGCCTCCCTCACTTTATTAATCATTCCTGAAATTTATGGCAGCTTCCACAGATAGCTCAACTATGCATGTTGGTATTTTCCCTGGAGTCTCACGGTATACAGAAGGATTCCTCTCATTTGGGGATCTGAAAAAATAAAAAGGTGTATTTTGCACCTGAACCACAGGAGAGAAATTTGGCTCAGGAGACTGGGGTTTGCCTGAGCACCATCGGACAAGTGCCTCTCATCAAAATTAGCGTCAGAAAATACTTTATCTAAATGGTGCTTTGCACATCAGGGTGTTTGTTTATTCAGTTTTTTAATTTATAGCTATTTAATGATGATCCTTTAAACAAAAAGAGATCAGTAATAAACTCACTTACTCTGCCCATACAGTCCATGAAGTTTTCTAGAAATACCACACTCAGGATAAAAACAGCTCACTGATGCTTCTAGGGACAATGCCATTACCAAAGGGAATACAGTATTCTACAAATAATTTAATAATAATAATAATAATAGTAATAATAATAGGCAGGTGTCCTTCCCTTCTGATCCCCAGTTGCTATTTGTTGTCAACCTGTTGCAGAAATCACCAGATTTAGGATTTTAGGATATTGCTTAGAAGTCCTCTTACTTTTCCCATCTTGATCTGAATATCAAGAATTCTAATTAGTGGATATTAGAGGGAGAGACTAATGATTATATTGGGAAAATAAGTCTCAAATGGAATAAATGACCAAATATAAAATAAAATCTGTATTGACAATGCTGCTAGCATACCCCTGTAAAGTCCCAGACTTAAGGTATTCATTAACCAATGATCTGTTAGTGGTTAGAAACAAGGATAGTGTGTTATAGTCCAAGATATCTGCTAGACAGGATTTACTATAGTACCCATTGTGTTTAATCTTTGAATCATGACTGAAGTAGATACGAGCCAAGAGCTTACGAGCCAAGGACATGTTCCTTGACCAAACATGGTCAATTCAAGGAGTGGTTGAGACCTCTGACCCACAGACCACTTACCCAAATTATACCACCTACTCAAAAGAGAACGATAGAAGACTACGACAGAGGCTGCGCGCTAATTTGCATCAGAAGCAAGGAGAGAAGTTTGAAGAAAATCATCTCCAACAAGATGATTGGTTCTTAATCATCGAGAGAATGATAATGAATATGATTGTATAGACTGAATATGTATGAATTTAATATATAAATATTTTATTGCAATATGCATGTGGACATCTTTGGGAAGGATCCCATGTCCCCAGTGCACACAGTGAGCATCGTTAATAAAGGACGTCTCTACTTATCTAACGTTGTGTAGATAAGTTTTTCTTACCACTGCAGATTTGCAACAAACCAACAGTTAAATGCTTTTCTTGTCTTCTCTTAATATTTCTTATCTTTATTGGCAGAGCATCTTGATGCATTGCAAGACACTGGTTTGATGGTGAGGGGTTGGGGGGGGCAGCAGTGCAACCTCCTGATATGCGGCAGGCCCTGTTGCACAGGACTAAGACAGGTAAAGCAGATGGAGCGGGGCACAGAGACTCGCTGCAAGTCAGGAGCAAGACAGCAGCCAAGCAAAGGTTTTGACCAAAGGGCTTTGGAGCAAAAGAGCAGTTCCTTAGTCCCCAGCCCATACAACACTATGCTGAGCCACACTTTCAGAATAAAAAAAAATACGGATAACTGTACCGCTAAATGCACCCAGAAACAGAAAAATTATGTGAAAGTCAGTGAATCCAGATGAACAGAAGCTGAGACTGCCTTCTGAATCGTTGACCCATAAACCAGGGCCCTGATCCAAGTTATTGGCAATGAAGTTTGGCAAAACATAAAGTAAATCAACTACTCAGGGTAGTTGTATGTAGCTAAAGATAAAATGACCTACTGAAGGGCTCCCTTGTCTAATAATGCGGACTGCTGAGCTCCCTGCTTTCAAATGATCAACTAATTCTTCCATAGACTACCCTCAGGAGCTGCTAGAAGGATTTTTTTAAATGAGTCAATTAAAATTGAAACATTTTCCTCTCCAGCTAAAGTATTAATAACTAAACACTTATCATCAGGATAGTCTGTAAAGAATGGATATGAAATACTGCATCCATACATATTACCAGTAGCAGCAACAGTTAAGCAATGTGTGCACATCCACTTGAATCATAACTTGACATTTACATGTGCACATTTAGAAAAAAATCTTTATGCAAAGCAGTCATTGCAAGTGGGTACAACACACATTTAAAAGTTAAATATCCAGAATCTATTACGAACTACTCTATATATTTGATTTAGGTGAAATGTAAGATAGATTTTATTTATTTCCCCACAGGTCTCTCCTGCATATGGGTTATTTATCTAGTAGATCCTTAGTAGGCAAGCAAATGTGCATGATGTTGAAATTAAATCCTTAAAACTAGTTAAATGTATTAGCTTCATTCACTCAACACTTCTATACTGTGAGACACTGAGCATGTTAAATGCTCTGCTTGTTTGGTTAGCTTTAATTTGTTTGGTCCACAAATAACTGTGAAATAGTAAATACCAGTTAAAAAAAAATAAAAAGTTAATAATAATAAGTAAATAAGCAAATTTTGAATTATGTTTTTGTTTTCATTTTCATGAACGCCTAGAAAGGCTCTTCCTGTATGGCAAGTTTAAATCACAAATGAAAATTTAATTGACTAACAATGCATGCTTTCCTACACCTTTAGACAGGCCTTTCAGTTGGAGAGAACAATCTACTCTGGCAAATCGAAGAACTACACCAAATCTTTCATCAGTCCTGAAGCCAAGGCCACATAATACATTACATGTAAATTCCATTTACATGAAATACAACTCCATTAAATAAGAGTTTGAGTAACAAACATTCAGCTCAGAGAAGAAATTGTATCACAAACAGTTTCATGAAGAAAAAGAAAACTATCAGTGAAACATTCCTCCATTTTTTGGTTCCAAAGCTGGTTTAAATCACCTGAGGGCTCAAGGAGACCTTGGGCAGTCATCCAGCCCCTGGAGGCAATGGGCAGTTATACCCAAGTCCTTCTTAACAGATGGTGCTCATTAGATCCAAAAGATCTCCAACAATAGAGATTTGCTAATGTCTAACTAAATATTATTAAATAAAAATCTAAATATTATCAGTATACAATCAACTGCCAACTTTTCTCCTCTTAACAGCCCAGGGTATTTGAATAAAAAAATAGTTTCCTTATTTTGCAGCTGCAGTAGACTTCAGAAAATTGCTTTCAGCTACAAACCTTCTCAGCTATAAACAACAGGTATCATAAATTGCATTGCTGTACCCTGTACTGTCTGCAACTGGTCTGGAGGCCCTAAGATGATGAGGGGACTGGAGTATCTCTTATGAGGAAAGGCTGAGAGACCTGGGGCTCTTTAGCCTGGAGAAGAGAAGACCAAGAGGGGATCTTATCAACACTTGTAAATATGTAAAGGGCAGGTGTCAAGAGGAGGGGGCCAGGCTCTTCTCAGTGGTGCCCAGCAACAGGACAAGGGGCAATGGGCACAAACTGGAGCACAGGAAGTTCCACCTCAACATGAGGAAAAACTTCTTTACATTAAGGGTGACAGAGAACTGGAACAGGCTGCCCAGACAGACTGTGGAGTCTCCTTCCCTGGAGATATTCAAAACCCGCTTGGACGCAATCCTGCTGTAAGTGAGCCTGCTCTAGCAGGGTGGTTGGACTAGATGATCTCCAGAGTCCCTTCCAACCCCGACCACTCTGTGATTTTGTGATTCTGTGATATGTTTCTTGAACTGCAGTGGGCAAAACTGGACACAGCACTGGTGCGGAGCCTTGTTAGCGCTGGAAAGATGGGAAGAATGCCAGAGGGATCTTAGAAGCAAGCTCGGGGGATTTTGGTTGGTTGGTTGGTTTGTGTTTTGTTTTTTTTGTTGTTGTTGTCGGTTGGTTATTTTCAATAGCATGACAATATCAAATCTTGGTCAACTTGTAACCGACACAGCCCTCATATTCTTCTGAAACATTTGCTGTCCCTCCCAGATTGATGACATCATGAGCATTTGCAGCATAGTTCCCAATTCGTTATCCAAATTATCACGAAAAATATGAAACCAGCTGTGAATCCAGAATATCCTGTGCTTCTCCCCTGAACTATCATCCATATCTCTTTCAATCTTAACAGTGAAGAGTTGATAACCTACCCCTACAAAGGCTGTTCCAGCTATTTTTGCACCCACCCTAAGTCTGACTCATGACTTTAGGGGAACTCCCTTACAATTATTTTTTTTCCTCCCATTGTACACATCCTCTTCATTAAGTACATTTACATCATGCAAGAAGAGTATAAGGCACAGATGAGTCACAATATTCCTATCTTTCTGAACAGTGTAGGCTGTTGACCTTGAAAAGCAGATTCTTTCAAACTAACAATGCTTACTTGGAGAATTATTTGATTGAAGAAGAGCTTGAAGAAGAGCTTGAAGAAGAAGAGGTCAAAAGAATTTTTATTCTTTCACTAAGAAGCCTGGCTGTTACCTTTGGTGGCTTGCGCTTTCCATTTCTCCCGGTTCTGCTGCACCACCTCAGTCCAGGTGGCTTTAAAACATTTGAAGTCCACAGTGAGTATGGAGCAATTCAGTGAGGCACTTCCTTCGGACCCAGTGCTCTTGACACTTGATCTTTTAACTTCGGAGGGACTAATGCTATTCAGACTGGGGAACAAGATCACAAAACACATAAGAAATCAGTATCTCATACACCCAAATACAGCTAAGAAGAAATAATGACTGTAGGTCTAGTCAACCAGGAAAAACAAAAACTGAGCTTGAATTCCTCATCCTCCTCTGCCTCCCTCCCACCCCAGGGCAACCAATGCTAAAGCAAACAGCAAAAATTGAGCCAGTATTAGAAATAAAGGGCAGTTTTTCCTGGCTTATTTTCTTGTATCCATAGTCCCTAAGGAATAGAATCACTCAAAGTCTTGCGATTACCTTTGTTGTTCATCTTCACTCCCTAAATATTCATTGGAGAGTCCAGAAATCAGGTATGTCAAAAGAGGAGCCTCCTAAAATTCACCAATGGGAGCCATTAGGCTCACAACAGGAGGCCAACCTCTGTCCAGGGCTAAGTGACCCCAGCTGAGGCTGAAATCAGGCACTCTTTTCAGTTACAGACCCTACAGTTGTCTTTCAAGAATGGACACTTCATTGTGCGCATTTTAATAATGACATAGAAAGCTAATAGTGCTTGCTCTTTGTGTAATAGCCCAAGAGTGAGAGGGAATCCTGACTTGGTAGCCCTACACTAGGGAGCACTAGCCACATGACATTTGAATCCCAAGACATGCCCTATCCATAATGATACAAAAAGAGTAGCTTCTCTACAACAGCACATCAGGTTGTAAGGGCCAAGACTCCTTACACCTGAACTCCAGCTGAATTCCGGTGGTACTTGATACATTTGCATAACCCTAAATACTGTCACTAAATTGTGCTCATACTTCCCAGTCCTCTTCTGTATTTCAATCCCATTTATACCTCTAGACACAAAGAAATGAGTGCTTCCCAATGACTCCCTCTACTACTTTCTCTTTGACATTAGTGACTGAGAGAGCACTAAAGTTCACCTGATTGCATGGCTACAACCCTTTGTGCTTGCTGCCTTTGGAGGCATGGCTCAGGTTCATGCCAGCCTCCCTCTTTGCCCTCCCTTGGGCTGGAGTTTCCCTGCTTGTGAGCTGTGCTGTTGGCAACGTGGATACGGGGCTTTAAGCCACACGGAAGACATATACTGGAGGTGGGGGGGGTAACTGGGGGAGTTAAGCACAGTAGCAGCATGAGCAAAGTGAAGGGAGAGGACGTGTGGTTATTCACCTGGAACGCCTGAATCCGGACATGCCAGAGCGGGAAGCTTCATCAATGAGCGGAGTCACAATCTTCTCAGTCATGTCCGTCAGCACAGTAAAAGTGGGTTCCACAATGAAATCAATGAAACCTGAGCAGAAACACAAGCAGAGTCAAGGAGGCAAGAGGAGGATTTATGTGGAGTCACTGCTTCAGAGATCGCAGACAACCACGCTGTAAAAGACAGAGTAAAAAAATGATACCTTGCAAGATGGATAGGCAAACACCAGAAAGGGAAAACAGAGTTATACATTAATCCCTGACCCAAGAGCCTGGATATAACATGCAATAAAAGGTACCTACTTAAACACTGGAAAGAAACCGTGGTAAATCAGAACATAAACAGATGCATCAGAACTTGTTTTATATGAGGGGTGTGATATTTAAGCCAAATTCCTAGTGGATTTGGATAAAACCCAGTTTCAAAGATGAACTCTCTAAAAGCAGACAATTAATATAATACTGGTAAGCGTTGCTGGTGTGGAGTTACATACTGCATATCAGTGGGTTGCTGTGAATATTCTCTCCTCAGTGCTTGGCCAGCTGGCACTTGTTGATAATAAAACAGATTTAGATGCTTTCCCCCCCTTTTTTAATATAAAGAAAGGAAAAAAAAATAAAGGGACAAATAATTTCTATTTCAGTATACAGTTTGGCAGAGAAAATTATGCCTCTGACCTGGAAGTTGGAAAAGGCAGACTGAAGGGCCCTGGGACCATAAAATCATGAGATGAAGGAAAATCCAAGTTGCACAGAAACAATGTGACAGTGAGGAGCTTACAGTACCTTACACCTCGCCCTAAATTTTAACCTGGGGCAAGGGCTATTTCTTACAGTCATTTTAGCACTTCACTTAGCAAGTTTTGTAGTGCTGCAGGTACACAGGAAAACAATGATGTCCTTAATCCCTCCCTAAGGCATATCAGTATTCAGGTCTTTCCTTACTGTTACAATTTTTAAAGATTTGGTAATTATCAACTATTAATTATACATTCATAATATTATAATTTCTCTGACTGGGTCATGAGATGTTTCTATGACAGACCCTGGTGATTCTAGGTGGTTACAGAACAATAAAAGGAGAAGAGACCATGTGGGCCAGGCACCTGAATTCACAGATGCTTCGATCCACATCTTGAGCGCAATGCAGTTGAGCATCCTACTAGTTCCATTTCCCTCCCCTGATTTTTGCTAAATTTCTAAAGGGATGGGTAATTAAGTGTATTTTCATGCCTAGCCAAATGAAAAATTTTACTTGAAAGTTCTCAGAATTTAATACTAACATTCTATGAATCTGGAGAAAATATACATTCAGTCTTATCTGAACAGCTGAGTCATGTACCTCCATAACACTGAGTCAGTCTTAACTATTCAAATTTACAGAAAAAAGAACTCCCTTCTTCCCAAGAAGTTGATCAGAAATGTATGCAGTATAAAGCCACAACAGGAAACTGTGTGCTAGATCACAACCCAGATAATCTCAGCAAACTTCATACAATTTTTTAAAACACTGGAAACTGTACTGACTGAGAAGAGTGTTAAGTGTGCCAGAGGAATCCGGAGGATGGTAAGAACTTGATTTATGTATGTGTCTGCCTGTGTACATGCCTCTTCTATTCCCTTTCACTAAAAAAAAAGAAAATTTAGCTCTTAATGACCAAAGAAACCCAAGCCATGGTACCTTGTCACTTCTGCTTGGCAAGTAATACCTTTGCCATTTGCTCAGTCACCACTAACAACCCTGAGACATGCAAATCTCTGGTATCAGATGAATGACTGTGTCACTAACTTCAGCAGTGAGGTGGTGGGATCCTCTTCCTGAGATACTCAACATTTGCACATAAACACAAGGTCCAGTTGTAAGTGTCTATGAAACAAGTTTTCCCTGGGAGAAGTCTTGTATCTCATCAACAGACAGGCAGAGGTGGCACAAGGGACCACAGGTAAACAGACTCAAAGACCTAGGAGAACCTTTCTTTGATAAGTGGCTTCTTTTCCTCTCTTCCCTATAACATGAATACTTTATTCAATTATGTTACCTTAAAATGGGGATTATAATAAAGTTGGGAAACATAATCTGCGATCATAGAAACAAAACTTATGACTTTATTAATAATTATGTAACTTATGCCCTATTCCCAAGTGTCCCCCCTGGCGTGTACATAAAGACACTGTGATTTAAATATGGTGATTTAATTTCCTAATAAAACTGAATATCAAATAATGAACATGAGTTTTAAAACTATTAATGCTAATGACCTTTTTATCATTCTTTTTCTTCTTGAATAGAATGAGCGCAGTAAATACTTCTGTACCCCAGTGATTAAGTTGATTTTACTAATTAACACTGCATGCCAAGGGTGGATTCCAGGCACTTGCCTAGTGTTCATTCATTCCACCTGAGAACGTCACCAGGGCAAACACTGGCTAGAGAACAGTTTCCCTAAAGCCCACCACCAAAAAAAGGGCATCATCAGCATGCACTCATCAGCTGTTATCCAATGGATTCTGAAGCTGTGATTTTCTTTCTTGCCAGCCAAAGGATAAAAATAAAAGGATGCTGCTACATTTATCAGCTGCAGAAGAGGACAATGACAACAAAGGCTGATCTCCAGTCAAACAAGCTTCCTACAGTTTGAGACAGACAGGGAAGGTTTAACTCCTGATATTTTTGTTGGGAAATACAAATCTTGGCCTGGTTTTCTTCGCAGTTTGTTTGTCTCCCCCACCCTGATAAGCAGCCTGACTTCTGGACCTGAATCTCTCCTGATTTCTGTACTTCACTGTGGTAGAGAAATATTTACCACACTCATTCTATTGAAGAAGAAAAAGGATGATAAACTGGTCATTAGCATTAACATTAATAGGCTTTAAAACCCAGGTTCATTATTTAATATTCAGGGGTTTTTTAATTATCAGTTTAAACTCCAAACAATTTCTCACAGACTGAAGCAGCAGGAGAGACAGACATTCTTGCTTTTGAGGAAGTTTTTGTTGTTAGATTGCTTCATTTCCATGGAAAAGGTTCATACTGCAAAACCTTCAGTTTGCATTTGTGAAAATCTTTTGTTAATGAAAATGCTTGCCCACTGTTGCTGCATCTGCAGTGAACTTAGAGCAGAAAACCAGCAACTACAAACAAGTCAAGCCACTGGAACAGGATTTCTAGGCACTGTCCCTGACAGAACCAAGAGCGCAATTTTATTTCACAAAGGACAGAGGTTTTTTATTTGTGGGAACTGATGGCTGCTTGCTGCAGATAATAGCACAATTTGGAATTCAGTAAGAATTTACTTTTGCAAAGAAATATAGTAATTACTATTCCAGAGAACGATTTGTTAAGGCTATTAATCAGGTAAATAAATGAATGGGAACAGATTATTTGTCTGAGAATCTGGCCTACAATTTCAAAAGCCTTACCTCAGCAAATAGCCAGAAAATATAAGGGGGTTTGATTTAGCAAAGGAGGCATTACAGAAAGACACTTCCAGTATGTGCAGCAGACTGAGAAATGAAAATTTTATAATGTTAGAAGGCAAGATTTATAGAAAGTAGCCTATTAATGTCAATGGATTACTAAATGCACAAATCAAATACAACAGTAAATAGTATATGACTAAATAAGGCTGCCTTTGCATAATGATGAATGCCTCTTTTATAAGGTAGAATTGTGTTGGTGTTGGTTTAATTCATCACTAATTTTGCAGTGGCTTGACACAAGGGGCATCGGTGCAGAAGTGTTTTGGCTCTCCTGGACTCCCTGAGCAAAGCAGAACAAAAGAGGAGAGCGAAGAAAACTGGCTTCCAAGCACACACAACTCTACGTACAGTGACCCCCAGGGAAGCACAACTCCTCTTCCCTAAGGGGAAGAAGCGAGGGACATGTCTGAAAGCTGATAGAAGGGATGTGAAAGAGAAGTCTCCACATGCACTTCCTTCCACACCAGCCAAAGGGAGAGTTTAACGTCTCCCACAGCACAGCAGTAGGTGTAGTGTGCCCAGGAGTCCTCAACATGGGTTTTAGCTAAAACTGCAGCACTTCAAGTTTGCTGCTACTTCCCTCCACTGAGCTGCTGGCAGAACGCTCAGTTGCACTGCACTCTACCCACATCCCCACTCTTCTGGGTTACCATTGCAGAGGAGTAAAGTCTACAAGTCTAGCAAACAGGCCAGGCCTGCTCAGGACTTTTCAAGTTTAGATTCTTGGCTAACTGTCTAAACTTCCAAAGCCAGAAAAATCTGGGATGGGGTCCCTCAGAGAATGGCTTGCCTAAGAGGAACAAAGAAATAATTTTAAATAGAAATGACTCTTAGCCATGGATATGAATCTGAACTTTCATAGGTTCAGAGATAGCTTTGTCTTGTTCTTTGAGAGAAATTTCGTACTTCAAATTTTCTGTTTGTTTTCCTTTAATACACTCTCTCTCTGCTTCTGGTCTCAGTTCCCTCATTTTTAGGGTCTGTGTTATCTTTCTTTTGTTATTCTATTTGGCTCCCTATTTTCCAGTTGAGGTTAGATCACATTCTGTCTACTCCACTTGCTTCCTAGGTATAAAAATCCATCCACAAATCCACCTTTTCCATTGCCTTTTTTTTTGCTCCCAGCCTCCTGAACAGTTTTACTTCACTTAGCCCCTCTTATTTTCTCACCAAACATCAGGCTTGTTGCCTCATCCTTCTACTTTTTTACTCAATAACTGGAGAAGAGGTAGAGAAAGTGCTGTTGGTGAGTCTGTAAAAAGATCTCTGTTTCTGAATCGGTGGAGCAGAAAAAGTTTTCTATTTGCTTGGCTTCAGTGAAAAACACTGGTTGGCTTGAAGCACTGGGAGGGAAAGGGTGGGAGGAATAAATGGAAAAACACAAAAAAAGTTTTGCCCAGGTCATCGAAGGGACTGACAGTACTTTTTCATATTCACCAATGATACTCATATCACAATATGTTGCTGTGTGCTCCTCATCTTCACAGCTCAGAAAACCATGGAGTAGTATCAGAACCAGGCACTGTAGTTGTCTCTGCAGATACAGAGGCAACTTGGCTATTGCATGGAACCACCACCATAAATTGAATGGCTCCTCAGCTTTGAATTGCTGATCTGGGGAAAATAATGCCATTGTGCTTTATTTCCTGTCTTTAACATAGCTCCAGATGATGAGAGATCACCATCATCTTAGCCCTACAGGGAGGAGTAAGTTTTGCTTTTAAGACTCTACTTTGTATGCACCAAAAGGGACATACCTATTTGAGACTGAGCAACCATAGTAGACTTGCGATCACACAGTGGAGAAAAGGGAAGCCCTAGTTCTGCTTCTTTGTCACCCTGGAGAAACAAAATTGAGAAGAAATTAGAAAAAGACAAGACACATTGCACTTTCATATCTTAGGTCATGACTGTAAAAGCCTCTCATCTTACTTTCTTTAATTAAGTTTTGATTTTGGTTTGTTGGGGAGTTTTTTGGGGCGTGTTTTTTTTTTTTTTTTAGCACAGAATGGGGAGAATTTGAGTCTGGTTGGAAAAATTGTAGTCCAAGGAGAAGCTGTTGAATTAAGCATCTTGATTCCAGTGAAACTTTCCTCAGAGCTTTCCCTGCCTGCTCGGTACTTCTATGCACCAACTAAAAAGTCACTTGAGCACAATAATGCTTCTTCACTGCAGTTCTCCAGAGAACCCAGTAGAACTCAGTTCTCAGAAAAATGTTTCATTGTCTTTTTTAGTCTTTTAGATAAGGAATTCACAGGTCGTGGCTGGTCAGATGCAGATTACTTTTTTCTTCCAAAGGAAGTACAGACATTTTTCTATGACAAAGTAACCTGCTCAGCTGATGTGGGGTGAGTGGTAGACATTGTCTAGCTGGATTTCTCCAAGGCTTTTGATACGGTTCCCCACAGCCTCCTCGTAGAGAAACTGGTGTGTTACAGTCTAGACAAGTGGTCTGTGTGGTGGGTGGGGGACTGACTGACAGGCTACACCCAGAGGATGGTGGCAAATAGATGCTTTTCAAACTGGCAATCTGTCACAAGTGTAAGGTCTTGCACCTGGGAAAACATAATCCAGGACTGCAACATGGGCTGGGATCTACCTGGTTGTAGAGCAGCTCTCTGGAAAAGCACCCGGGGGTCCTGGTGGACAACAAGCTCAGTATGAGTGAACTGCAGCAGCAGCAAAGAAAGCCAACAGGATACTGGGTTGCATCAACAAGGGCATCACCATCAGAGACAAAGGAGTCATTATCCCAGTGCATTCAGCCCTTGTCAGGCCACACCTGGAATACTGTGTTCATTTTTGGTTCCTGCTGTACAAAAGAGATGTGGACAGGCTGGAGAGGGTCCAGAGAAGGGCCACAAAGATGATCAAAGAACCAGGAAGCCTGCCGTATGAGGAAAGGCTGAGAGAATTTGGTTTGTTCAGCCTTGAGAAAAGAAGGCTTAGGGGAGACCTTATCATCATGTTCCATGATTTAAAAGGTGGCTACAAAGAAGATGGAGACTCCCTTTCTACATGGAAAAGACAAGGGGTAATGGGTACAAGTTACTCCTGGAGAGATTCCAATTAGACATAAAGGGAATATTTTTCACAATGAGAACAATCAGCCACCGGCATAATCTCCCCAGGGAAGTGGTGGATTCCCCAACATTGGACACTTTTAAGATTCAGCTGGACAGGGTGATGGGCCATCTAGTCCGTGCTTTCCCAAAAAAGGTTGGACCAGACAGTCCTTGAGGTCCCTTCCCACCTGGTATTCTATGATTCTACGATTGTGACATTGTCAATATTTTACGTAAGTGCTAAAGTACAAAAGTCCAAACACAATTTCCAGCCCTCAGAACTGAAAGTCCTTTTCTAACATCACAAGATGGTGCAGAACTTCAAGTGTTACAACCCCATTTTTTCCCAGTCTTTCAAGCTGTATATTCTCAAAAAGCCCTATAACTTGGTTCAGTCACTCTATAACATATTGCTTTATGCTGAGAAGTTGCATAGGATGACATAGTTGCAATACTCCCCACCAAGCATTCGAATGTAAATAGCCTGTTAAATATACTATAGAATCAATTCCTTAAATTAGCAGCTCACTTTAACTGTGATGAACTTCTTGGCAGTGTTCTGACTAATGTCAAATGGAAGATAAAATAGCCAGCAAACTAACCAGAGAAAAAGTTCTGTAGGCATAAGAAGAGCTGAATTCATCTTCTTTTTGTTAATATAACGTACATGAAATGGGGGCACAAGTCCTGTTAGAGTTTTGGGTGGAACAACAAGCAATAATATTCTTCTGTTGCAGAACAATTCTGCTTTGTGTTAGGAGTCTGATATACAAATGCCAGGGTAAAACAGAAACCAAACACAGAAATATTTCCAAGTAACGTTCCTTTACTGTGTCTGCTGCATCCCTCAGGAAAACCATATCTCAATGCCAGCTCTTACCTAATCATCATTCTTCTCTTAATCCTTATGCCTCTTAAAAACCTCAATGCCTAATTCTCTTTAGGAAGGAACTCCTAACTGCCTTTCTGACTGCTCAGAGAGATACTTCTTCTAAGCTCTTTGGGCAGCTCCCTCATGGCTAGCCAAAGTGCATTAGGAAAACAAATTACAATCACGCAAGAGTTTTGCTTTAAGAGATGCTCCCCATAGCTGCTGAATGTAAAAAACACTATTGTACCCAGAAGCATCATTCACACCTACAGCATGGTTACTTGGTGTAGGAAGACCTGTGTGACATCACAAAATACAAATACTTGGAAACCAATAGGGCTGGGGATCTGTACTGACACAGGTTAAGTCAGGATTTATGTCTCTGCAGAGCACATAACAGAAAGGACAGGAGAGAGTCTGCAGGTGAAAAGCATAAGGAAATAAATACCTAATCTGAGGCCAGCCCAGTTTCTTCTTGCCATGGTCCCCCTCTAGCTAGTGGTACTTCTCAGCTTGTGAGAAGAGTGTGTGCTGTTCTGCTGTCACGTAGAGATGTATTTATTGATCTAGTACTAAATAACTTCAATGAACACAAGTCTATACTTCATGGTAAGCTTAAGGCTTTTCCTGAAGAGGGAATCTGAATTTGGAACTAGAATACAAGTTTTATATAAAGCTTCGTCTAAAAGTGGAGGCACTTGTCACTCAAAACTAAAGTAGGATTTGTTGGCTGAAATAAAATTATTCTTATTAAAACATAAAACAATAATTTTGTCTTCATTACATGTGTAAAACAGATCAAAACTTGGGCTTTTTGTGGTTTCATATCTAGCTAAACTTAATTCCCTCACCAGTCTTTAGGGGACTTGGTAGTGGTATATTTTCACACATCTAGTACAATTTTGAGCTAGAAAAGCATAAACAAGCACAGAGTTTTCCCTAAAATGTATGTGAAAATCATCCTACTTGCACAAGCCTCCTGTTTGGCAACACAGAGACAGAGGCAGGTATGATCTGCCTGCACTTAGTAAACCCATTCTTGGTTTGAAAAACAAATTCAGGATTCATTTCAAAGCAAATTCTTGCAACGTCCTTATTAAGAAGGGATTCCCACAATGCCTTTAAAAATAGATGCCATTTAAAAAATCGTTAGAACTTTCTAAAAATTCTCATACATTTTTCTTTTTTGCATTCAGATTTACTACAAAACATGAAGTTATTGAACTTTGAGGGGAAATCAAGCACTTAGTTTTCTGCTTAGTTTAGTAATTCATATTGGTGAAGAATATCCTGAACGCTCCTAAGCGTTCTGTTTACTTTTACTTTTTTTTTTTTTCAAGGCAGCTCTAAATGCTTTTAATTAGTCACTTGGGGAGCTTATAGCTATCACACAGAGCTTAATGATTTGTCTAGATTTGTGGGTCTCAACAGGCGGTCCACTGTGAGCTATAAACCACATCAGTTCATCTAAAGTAAGGGTAATGCATTTTTCACATCTATAACAATATAAGTACAGTTCTGTAAAGTACAGCTACCTAAATCTGTTTTCTATGGTTCTACAGATAAGTAGAATGTCACATAGTCTATATTTTGCTAATCTGAAACACATACTAGCTTCCCAAATTAGAATTTCTACTATGTAGATAACATATGTCTATGGGCAGTGTCTCAGACACTAAATTCCCAAGATGCATAATAGCCAGTGCTACTGGTGCCAGATGAGAAAGCTTCATATCATTTAGGAGGTTCTTGAGTAAATCGGACAAAAAGGAAAAGATCTGCGTTCATATTTTCCTACTTCCTTGCCCAATCCTACACACGCCCTCTGTTCTGCAGAAATACAGAGGAACTTCCCTAGCTTTACCTGTCTGAAGAACTCCTCTAGCAGAGACATGGTCCAGCGATGATGGAGATCCCAGGCCTTGGCTGGATGACTGATATCTGCTGTATGCAACAACAGTGATAAGGCTTTCGGCTTGTCAATTCTGAAAACCCAAAGGATCAGATAAATTAATTGTCTGCTCTTGCAGTGGAGAATGACTAAAATCTAGGGAAATAGGTCATTAGAATCTTTGTCCACGATATTAATGGGATGATTTCTGTGTTCATAAAATCAGACAACTGTGAAAGATTGTCTGATTTCTCCAACATACACCATTGCTGTTGTAAAAGACATTAAGAAGTGCAAAAAGAAACTTTGCTCAGACTTGCTGAGCTCCTTTATGGGTTTGCTTGTCTGCACAAGCAGGCTTGAAGACCTGCTGTATTCCCCATTTCATCTGGGCTGCGTTTTATGCAGCTCAGAAGAGAAGTTGGTCCCTACCATATTACTGTAGTAAACAGGATCTGATTTCAGGGGCACTGAGGAGTCTACACGGTAACTGGTAAATGTTTCACTGCTAGAAAACTAGTGTGAGGTCAGAAGGGGATCCTTGCACCTGGTTCCACAGAACAAAAGAGGCTGGCAGCTTCTTAAAACCATAACCTGAGAGGCTAGCCTGAGCACCCAGTAAATAATGCTTTCTTGGGATAGGCAGCCTCACTTCCTAATTCCAGCTTTTGACTGTCTGAAATAGCTGGAAGAGTTGTAGCTTTTGAGAGGACCAAGTGGCTAGCCATACTTTGGTCTGACACAGGTATAAATTTGGGAGGCTCTGGACACACCTGTGTCCAGGGTAAAAGAATGACCATCACTCAGAGCTTTCTGCAGTCTAAAAGGAATTTTATGGGAGAGAGCTGTGGACAAAATATTACAGCTCCCAGTGGCATACTGGGAAGAAGAAAAGGCCTTCCTCATACTGCTCCATCTGTTATTCTCCAGCCCTTTCCTCAGTGGATTGCAAGTTGTTTTCATCTGTCTTCTGGTTACGAAGCAAGCCCCTTGCAGAGGTGGCAGCTGATACCATCTGCAGAAGGGCAATGCGTCAGTTGTATTCCGCAGATCTTACAACCTTGAGTCACACTCAAGCTGTAGAGGTCACTCAGCTGGATCCTGTCCTTGATGTTACCCTGACACGTAAAGGGAAATGCCCAGGGAGGCTTACCCCAACATGGTGACCTTTGCAAGCTTTGGTCCACCAGCACAGAATAGAGGTGTGTGCATAGGGGGGTTCCAGTCCACTCCTAAGTGAATTCATTCAAAATTCAACAGTAGAAAAAGAATTGATATGGACATCAAAGAGAGTGAGGGCCTCTGGAGAGGTGCTTTTGAAGTCAAACACAATGGCAAAGCACCAGCTGAAATGCAGCCCCTCACTGCGCAGTGTTGTGAAGTGACTCACCCTTCTGGCTGCTGCAAAGCATTCTTCATGGCTTTGATTTGCTGGAAGTGACAGGACATATCAGTGGCCAACACCATCTCAATCACTAGAGCTCTGAATTCCCTTTTGGATGGCATCACGATGAGAAAGGAAAGAGAAACACAAAAACCAGCATTAGAGACACTCCAGTTTCTTTTGTTGTCTATCTGCAAATTATTGACAGTACTTCTGCCTTTGTATGTCATTCTTTCCATTATCCCTCTTTTAGGGATGGGGAAGAGGATGAATGATTTTTCAACACAAACACAGGAGTGAGAAGGCTGCAAATTAAGCCAGGTGGTTAATCCTTGCCAAGAGAAATCCTAGATGTTTTTTGAAGAGCATGTTAGTATTAGTACTCCTTTTTCAATTAAGCACAAACTTCTTAAATTGCTTTCTTTTATAGGGCGTTCTTACAATGAAGTAAAAAGACTGTTTAAAGCTTTGGCAGGAATCAGGTTAGCTTTTGAACCTGAGTCTCTATCGGGTTGACTAAAACTTGTCGATACCTATGTCGAAAGTTTAGTCACATTATTAAAGGAAAAACAGTATGCTAAAAAAGATCTCCTAGTATATATGACACATATATGCAGTCAAGACCTTTGAGAACTTAGGTTCAGCATTACTTCCCTGATATTATCTGTTCAAACTATTCCTGTATGAATTTTTGTTAAGCAAACTTGTTTAGGATCCAGTTGAAATTCCTTTGAAGTTAATATGGATGTCCTAGAGATTTTAAATTATCAGAACATTCTGATCTAGCACACAATACAAATTTATCTTCTCTTTCTCAGTTCAGTTAGCCACAGGTTAGCATACCAGCTCAGGATTTAGGAGATTCAGAAATGGGTCAGCTTTCATTTGAAGATAAAAGTTAGCATTCTTCTTTTCATGAATGTTTCATGAAGGATGTGGTCTATTTTGAGCATGTCTCTCTTGCCTCTGGTGGCTGTGCTCAAGTTCCAGCCCCAGGCCACCACTGTGTAGAGACCCAAGACTGCTCTGCTTACCTTGTCCCATGGGTGGCACATAATGAGTCCCCCCACCAGGAGTTCTCCACGCACATTAAGGCAGCATCAGCTGGCCTCTCTCTTCCTCCACCCCACCCTAATGTACAACCAGTTATTGGGGCTTCAAGGTGGCATTTTTTCACTCTGAGGATCAGAAAGCCAGTGGGGGGTGGCTGTCCTCAGGCAGCTCTCACCTCAGCTACCAAATGGGTGGGTGAACACAAAGCCAGACCTGCCCTGGCAGTACGCAGAGAACAGCAACAGGTCATCAAAGAAGGTAAAGCCCCACCCCTGAAACATTCAAGCTGGAAAGACAGCTGTTCCTTTGCAGAAGCAGAAGATTTCAGTTTTGACAAGAAGACGTTTTGGCAAGACTGGTCAATAAACAATTAAAAAGCCAATTAGAAAACAACAACAAAAAAACCCCAATTAAAACCCAACAAACGCCAAGTAAAAAAAAACCAATAAAACCCAATTAAACCCTAGAAAAGACAATTTAAGAAACCAAAAAGTGCTCTCCACTCTTATTTGGCCCTTTGAAGACTGCATGTGGACTCCTGTGTCCCGTTCTCGTCTCCCCAGCACAGGAAAGACACCAACAGACACAAGGTGTGGGCCCAGCCCAGTGCCTTCGAGATGGCGAGGGGCCGGGGCACATGGCAGACAAGGGCAGGCGGAGGGAACTGCTGCTGTGCAGCTGGGTGAAGAGAAGGCTCAGGGCTGGGGCTGACTGCTTATCTTCCAGAACACTGAAAATGTTTTCCTGACCCAATACTACATAGAAAATCATCCTCCTTATCGCCCACACGCAATTCACTATTGCTAGTTTTGGTATGCAGAACAGCAAAGACCTTGTAGCAAAAAAAAAAAAAAAAATTAGAGAGAGAGCTTGGCCATGGTGTCAACTACTTTTTTACATCTCGGTTTCTAATCAACAGCACTGCTTGGTTTGCTGTCATGTGGAGCCATGGAGCAGACTGGCAGGTACCCAGCACACGTTACTGGAGCCCATGGCTTGTAGCAAACCAGGGAACACACTGAACTGCCAGTCTTGATGCACCTCAAGGACTTCCTAGCAAGTTTGCTCTGTACATAATGAAAAACACTGGAGCTTTTTCATTTTGTTGGGTTTAGAGGGGTTGATTTTGGTTTTGGTTTTTTTTTTCCCCCTTTTTATATGCTACATCATCTCTCTCTCTCTTAGAGCAAAAAAATCCCAAACTACTCCATCGCTTACTCATGTATTTTCCATGTCCTTCCAGTTCTCTCTCTTTTAACCCTTGCTTCACTTTACTGTGCTCACAGACAGAATATGAAACCCCATTCAGCACCATGGCCACATGGGACAGAATGAAATACCACTCATTCATTCACAGATGAGTTGCAGCTAAATTACTGACAGACTGAGAAGCAGCAAGGTTGGAAAAGGCAGCTCTGAACAGACACAGGCAGGAGGGCTGCTGCACCCAGCCAGCTGTTGCCATCCAGTCACTTGCTGGAGTAGGATAGCCCCAAGTGAAAACTGCCCTCTTTCAACAGTTCGAGGAGAAAAAGGGGATCCATTTGCCCACCATTGTAACACAATTCACATTACTCAACACTATAATAATCTCACTGACTACAGCCTTCAGTGCGTTTTCACTAACTAATGGCCATAAGATCTGCAGTGACCAATTTCAGACCTCACGACAGGTTTTGAGTATGCATCAGTATTAGTAGTTGCAAAGGTCACCTTAACTCCCATTTACTTCAGACACAATCAGGAGCAACGGACACAGCTTCAATCAAAATTGGGCAGTTTGGATCAGGTCTTGAGACCGACAGGGCCTGACTCCTTCCAAATATGTCTTCAGCAGACATTGCAATTCCCAGGTGCAGTCTACATTCAACACAGGAGACTCGGGACATCTTTACAGGAGGCACTGGAGCACGTGCCTCCTCAGGGAAGAGCATTACAGGGTCAACCAAGTGACTGCACAGAAAGGCAGATCATATGGACGAATGGTGCTCCTGAGCATAAGCAGCTCTACAGCTGTTGAAACTGGCCTAAAAGACATAGCAGAATCTGTGCTATGCCTTGGTAGCTTGCACATCTCTGTCCTATGCTCCATCACACTGTACATGCTGGCTGCACCATTTCTTTAGGTTTCTCACCAAGCTGCTCAGAAAAAAAGGCATCAGCGACATACATTGAGAGACACAAGTATTGCCATGAGTGATGTTGACTGCCAGCTTTTATGATGATTTCATGCAGCCCATCTAAGGTACTCATGGCATCAGCAAAAGTGTTGAAATTTGGCTGGGCCGAGTCACGTACAACCACGGGTTGCCCTCTTCCTTTTCTTCAGTTCCCAGTTACAGAGTTTGGAATGATCAGGGAGTGGTTAAGAAGGCAAGAGCTGCAGGAAGAGCCTTAAACAACTTTCTGAGCCACCAGCTGAACCCAAACTGCAATGGATGACCACTCCAGAATCCGTCTGCCTTCCATTTCTGCCGTTTGTCTCAACAACCACTGTGGGAACATACTGTGTGCTAAGTATTTTTGTTCAAGCCTTCTATCCATTCCTGTCCTTGTTAGACTTTAGCTGTCTGCAGGTTGCTATGTAAGCCAGTTCAGCTGGTTTTGCTATAGAGACTGGATGAAGATCAGCATCTCCAGAGTATGGCTCTTGCCATCCTCAGAGAAGTGGAATGAATTGTCCTTTGGAGGTACTGCCTTGCTCCCTCAAGTAAGAAAAAAGCTTAGACAATTTGTTTCTTTACATTAGGTGAAATAAATTCAAACAAAAGTGAGTTGGCAGAATCATCCAGGATACCCGTGGCAGAGTGAAAAACTGAGCTCAGGTTTCTCGATCATCCTCTTTTAGATCACTGTTTGTGTCAACAAAAATACAGTCACATGAAAGTGGCTGCTACCGAGAATATTATTGGTCTGCTAGGGCTTTGGAATGGGTTTTCTTGCAGGTCCCCTCAACTGAAGATCCCTTGTGGACTTAGAGTCTTTTTCATGGATCTGGCTATACTGCTTGGCTGACTAATTACTGATGTCAGTATTTCTCATTACACTTCCAGATGTTTTCTGTCATGGTAGAATATATATTTCCCTAAGGCCAGAGACCAGGACCCAGGAAGACATCACATTCTCACACCTATAACCCACCACTGAGAAAAAGTTACAAGTTATCCAATTTGAAAATAAATTCTAACATAACCTGCCTATGCCTTTCAATAACCCCTGCAGAATTACTGAAAGGAACAATTATGTGGAGAGAGCAGGTTGTCAGGGAACAGGGTCAGGAAAAGCAACTGGACAAGAGGGAAACCTGAAGTAAATTTCCTGGTTTATTACTGTCGTATGTTCAATAACAACTCACCCTGTGGCCAATGTCATAGCTTTGATTTTTTCTTTTCTAATTGATGTCCTGAAGATGACTCATGTATAAACATGGTATCTGGCACAGTCCCACAAGGATGCACAGTTTTACGGTATCTTTACTACCAATTGCTGAGACAAGACTCTGGCTGACTTTACATCTAAATACTTCCAAGCCTTGCATTGATACACCTGGGAAATATCATAATTTCCTCTTTAGAATAATTACTTCATGGTTTTACCTTCCTTGCCTTAGAGAATATGAGATCATTGTGTTGGATACTTTCTTGGATGTGTCTTTGCTCCATATCAGTGTCCACCTTAGAGCTGTATCCTAGTGAAGGACTCACAACCCCTTGCACTCATGGGAAAGGGACAGGGAAAAGGCCATTTTAGATTACTTAATCCCTATGCTAGGAACCAACACTAACATCTCCTGAAGTGAGCTGTTTTTCTCATTTTTGTCCAGCTGAAGTCCAAGTACTTTATTCTTATGGAAATGAATAGGAAAAATGCTACATCCAAGGAAACATTTTCAATGGCTGATTCTCACTAAAGGTATAACACTCAGGATATGCATGTGCCCATCCTGAATGCACAAAACCAAACTTTTACAAGAAAAGGGTGTGATTATGCAGCCACGCACATGTTATGTACAAAAGAAGGCTCTGACCAAAGTTGTCTTCAGTCAAAAAACATTCAAGGTTTCTTACCGCAATCTTGAAAAGAGTAACACTGATTGACAAGGAAGGCTCAGAATTATTTGAGGGACAAAACCCCAAGCAGCTTTGCCAAGAAAGTCAGTATTGCATTAAAGGTTACTTCCTAAAGCTGTACTCCAATACAGAGTTAAGAAGCTAAACATTTTCCAGATGCTCTTTTAATCCTGTACTTGATGGTAAAGGGCTTGCGGTAAACTTACTCCATTTCAATAAACTGCATGGAAATTATTAACGATGAAATACAGTGCCAGAAAAGACATCTACAGCAGTATCTTGGAAAGCATCTGTTCACTTTGCAGTTTATTTTCTTAATTCACTGTGATCTGTTAACTTAATTAACTGTTTCTGTTACAGTTTCCTCATTTACTTGTTGATGACTTGCACAAATAGGATTCATGAAATGAGGCAACTTAACTGGTTTTCAAATATTTAATAAGCAACAGTAGTTTTTCTAAATGGAGAAAAAAAAATTAGTGTAAGTACTAGTAAGCATTCAACTCTTCTCCTTGACTGTAGCCCAAAACATCTCTTTCAGTCTCATCTGCTTTCCTTACAAAACCTGTGCATATTTATTTTCCAACAGTAAAATGTAGCTCTAATTTTCTACGCTTCTTTCCTGAAAATACATTCCCTGACCAGATGACTGACTGCCACAAAAGTGATAAAATCCATATAGATATCTAGGATTGCAAAATCCATTGCCCATCAGATTTTCTCTTACTAGTAATGTGAAAAAAGGAGTGAGAGCTCAGCTCAGAAAGGCACTTAAGAATTTGCTTTCCAAAAACAATCACTCAAACCTTTCACTGAGAGAGATTTATCAGGCATTTCTACAAAAATAAAGTTAAATTTGGACACACTTTAATAGTTTCCCAAAGCATCCTTCAGTACTGACGGTCCTATCTTTGAGTGTCACTCTGGGAAACTGGGCTTCTTGGGATTTTCTCAACACCTCAGATCCTAGTGAAGTCAGCTGACGTTTCCAGTGCTTCCCAAAACGTTTGCCTATGGGATTTCAAACTGGCAGTCAAAAGCAAACGCACACAAAAAATCACAAAGTTTTGGAATTAGAGCACATCCAGATAATGGCCTTTATTCTGCAGCTGCTGCTTAATCAGCAGCTAAAAATAATAAAGATCTACTTGAGAGAGAACAAATAAACACTCAAGATTTTTGCCCAGCAAGTTAGAATATTTATTAAAGAGATGGGTTAATCTTTGAAACTTTGGGTCTAAGCATATTGCCTCAACAGAACACATATGTTGACACTACAGAATCAACGAGAAATATCTGAAGCTAGCTTTGATTAAAGCAAAACCAGTTTAAAGCTCCAAAACAGACCATTTTCCTAAACACATTATCTATGCAATGGAGCATACTAAGCTAGCTGCTCTGCTGTTCCTTGCAGACAGTAGCTCTAAGGCTGCTGTTTCTAGTCAGCTAGTTCCCTGTGTTTCCCCCACCAACATAAAAGGAAGCAGTAATTTGCTGCCAATATTTGTCAAGGCATTACCAGCTGTAGCTAAAAAAATAAATTAGACTTTTAACACCTCAATGCAGATATTTTTTTTAAGTTCCTGCTTGCTGCCCACCAGGAGACTATTTTCTATATTGGGGGATAGAACTTCTCAGGCCACTCCTCCACAACATTCACATTGATTGAAATCAGCCATGTAAGTTCCTGAGTTTTATTCCTGGTGTTCAGCTATAGGATTGCATCACTGTCCACAAGTTGAAATAAACAGGAAATTCAGGCTAAACAGATTAGCGAGCAGAGTGTTCACTGACCAGCTTGCTAGAAGCCAAGTCCCAGAGAAGGGCTTATTTCCCCACGTTTATATTAAAATAAGATGAACTGACTGCTCAGCACTGTATCACACTTAGGTGTATGCAGGAGGCACCGTGCGTCACTTAAGATCCCACAAGTTGCTTCCCCTCCCATGAGAGAGACCATGGAGCTGAATTCTTCCTGTCTAGCACACTGGGCTATTTTTAATGTACCACCCCTTGGAGTTCAAAAAAACCCATAAAAACAGAAAGCACTCATCAGTTTGAACTGTCTGCTATTAGAAAGCAAATCATGGGCTGATTTTGGCACATAAATCATATGTTGCATGAGGCTTATTTTAAATTACAGCTTCTTACATCACCTTGGCATATATTGTACACTGATTTATGCTCTTTGGACTGAATTCCTTTTTTTCATTAAGTCCCATTTTGCACCAATTTCCAGGCAAGGAATGTCAAAGTAGATAAAGGTTATATTTATGCTTTAGGATGAACAAACAGCAGGGTAGCTTTACACTCAATTACAAATGGATGTGTACAAAGGGCATCTCTGTGAGACTTAGAAATTAGATGGGAGTCAATTTGTATATTATAAACCTTTGTCACGAAGTCTAGTCTCACTACCAGAGGTGAAAATCAAAGGCAGAAATAAGCAAGACAAACACCTTTTAAAGCTCTTTTTCTTGTAGCAATAGAAATAGTAATATGTAATATATAATAATGCATATTGTCATTCAAATAAGGTAGTAACAGTCTATGGTGATGCCCCAATGTTCCTAGGCAGCCACCATGTTCATTTTTACCTCCAGTCATCCTTTGAGAGATTAGATAAAATATTCATCTCTTCATCATCTTGCAAAAGACGGTACGCTGCACTAACGTGGTGATTTTCAAGCACAGACCGGTCATTATATAGAATGGCTGAGTCTGACCTAGTGTTGAAAAGAAAATGTAGGAAAGATTATGTTTCTTCCCTGTCTAAAGAGTCTCACATTCAGAAGTTTTCCTTTAGCTACAGAGATTTAGTTCAATAGCACAGATACAAGCATTTTAAGAGCGCTTGTAACACTTGTTCACTGCCATTACTCAGTAAAAGAAAACTAAAGATCAAAATTCACTGCAAAATCTATGTCATCAGAGGAGACTCACCTAGTCTCTTTGTTACACACTTTAAAAAAAAATGCTGAGAGCGATACGTAAATTTAGAGTTGAATCATCTTTTCCAGCTCTTGTGCATGTGGCTCTCATATTAAAGCCTGACTGTACGCAAGTAAGCACTTGCAGGATGTGCCCCAATACAGTTTCCGGAACAGCAAACTGGCTGTAAACAAGGTATAACTGAACTGCTTTCTGTCATCTGTGCGCTAGACTATGCTGTCTGGGAGGGCAATTGCCAGTGGGATAGAGTAAGACCAAAGGTACTTCATACCTTAGTTTAAGCTCCAGGGCATAGATCTCAGATTGATGAATGGCTAAACTGGTCTGAGAACAAAGGTCCTGCTGGAAGTTAACGGCAACAGAGGGTGAGCACAATTTGTTACAGTCCCCACTCAGTTCTGCTTCCCAGAGAGCAGTGTGGGTTTTCCTACCCTGACACTTTACACCCTCTGGTGTTCAGTGTTACAGAAATTAAATTACAGCTGTCCTTCCTTGAATTCTTCTCTAAATATTTGAGAAATAGAACAGAACCCTAATTCTTGCACGCAGGAATCTGTAACAAATGGAGTGTGGCTTGGCCCAGAACAGAGAGAAAAACTTTCTACGTTCCCAAGCTTTCCTGAGCATATGTGTGATTTATCCCAGCAATCTTTAAATGTCTGTGATACACAGCAAGATTCAGCTAACATACTCCAGACATCTAATTTAGGGTAAGATGCAATGCATCTTAGAAATGCCCAAGTGTGCAGTCGAGGACACCTAGACATTTTGTCATCATTACCAGTACACTCCCATTGTCAAAATAATATGCAAACATTAGATGTCCAATTATCACCACAACTAGAGACTTCACAATCTTTGCACACTTCCGAATTTTGCTGCCGTCTTCATTTTTCCTCCTCTCTTCCATCAACCCAAAAGCCTTACAGAAGATTCTGAGTTCAAGAAATACGCCCGTCCAGTCTAGTTTGTGATCAGCTAATTACTGTCTAGCAATTTACAAAGCTTAAAAAAATTATATCCCTGAACAGGTAACGGCAAACATATCCCCTTGCTGCAAGTGTGGTTTTCCACTTAAGTAAAAATAGTATGTGCAGTGTTGGTGTTCACTGATGAATACAGATATTGTTGAACTCCTGATTTAAACAGTTAATGTTTGATCCTTCAAATTCAACAAGAAGACAAAACTGTTGAATTCTAGTATTTCCTCCAAAACTATACCTTCAACAAAATACGTCACTTTGTACCACAATTTTGGGACCTTGCTTTTTCCTGATTAATAATATGAAACAATGTTCAGTAAGCTAGAATGCATGCATTCCACTGTAAATGGCTGAGCAAGAGAAAATGAAAGGCAACCTAAAGAAGTGAACTTTCCCCCTGTAACACTTGAAAGCGAAAGCTCCTGCACTTTTCTAGGTGGCTGTGCTGTTATTCTCCAAAGGCTTCCCCCTCCATTTCCCAGACCATCATCATGATTTACAGCAGCCTTACCGTGTCTGGATGTGAAAGTTGTTGGTGGTTCCAGTGTGTTCATAGTCATGGATGGCAGCTGCAAAGATCATAGCGAAGATCTCCAGCTCTGTCAGCCAGTGCTGCAAAGAGATTACAGAGCAGATAAGCTGTCATTTTCCCAGGCATTAAGGCTTTTGTCTTTTAAGGCAAGTTATTCCCTGCTGACAGTCAAATGCTGCACATCACTGCCTTTCCCCTGCAGCCTGCCAGCTGTTTTAAAGCAAACTTCTCTGGTTGATGCACAAAAGCCAAATCAGTGTTTTTCCTGAAGCTTCATCTAAATAAATTGAACTTCAGCAAAGTAGTTTCAGGACCTAATAAGTCTTAAGGCAGAGCAAGGGGAAACACATGCCCTTCTTAAAGTACAATGTGTGAGGAAGAGAGAGGGAAACCTCAAGAAAATCAAGGTTCTTCAAGTGGAACTTGATGATACATGTGCAGGTATGCACATACCACCAGGGTACGTATTTTCAGCTCAGTTGACCTGGGTAGCAGAGCCTCAAATACAGAGGAATGTCACTAATTTCCAGTAACTAAAAGTCTTTGTCAATCACTGAATCATGAGGAGAACAGGGAACACAATGTCTCAAGATGTACATCTTGTTATTTATTTATAGAAACATTTGAGAAAGCACTGAGGGCTTTTTTATCCTAATTGCCTAGTCAAAGCCTTATTTTTCAATGCTTAAGTCACTTTTGACTTAGATTTCTAAATGACTTAGGTGCTTTTAATAATAATTTTCCTCTGAGACAATCAATCATTTTATGTCTGGTTTTCCACTGGTAGATCACAAGGAGTGATGTTAACATCAAGCGCATCAGAGGCAAAGGCTCTACATAGTGTAGATGCTGTAAATATTTGTATGAAATGTTAAATGTATTGAATTTAAAGAAAACCTTTACCACAGTGGTTGACAAATATTTTTCTAACAGCTCACTGTCAACCTGAAAATGTTTTGACAGGCATTCATGTATGAACCGTCTTTTAATTCAAAGCCCAGTAAAGGAAGTATGATTTCATAAATCTATTCCAGACTTCTACTACAGCTCAGGAGCCACCGCTAGTCTGTTAACCACATGCACAGGTAACTGTGGGGCTCTGCACACAGCGACCTCTCCAGCCCTTCTGCCTTTCACAGCCATCTGCATGACCAATGAAAAATGAAGCAAGTCCCAGTATTAAAGATCTCCTTACACTAAAGATGCAGTTTGAAAATATCGGTCAGAGATATTTTGCACAATGCCACCGACAATAAACAAGGTAGCTCTTGATTTTTTGAGAGAGAGAGAGAGGTGGGTGAATAGATCAAGAAATGAGCAGACACAGAAACTAAACTATTTTCTCATTTCTACACAATTAGTCTAGGACAGGAATGGACAGCACTGGTGTGTGTTTCTATGACATTTCTGTTTCCAGGTGTGACTTGTGAATAAGGAATGCTTTACACCTGTTGAAGAACATGTTTTCAACTGTGAAGCAACAACTTCTGGCAACTGCAATGGGGGGAAAGAGGAACTAGGGTTTCCAGGCTACACGTCTAGATCTGGACTTCCATTCCTCAACCATATTCTGCTGTTTCCCAAAAGCAGAGAGTCGAAATGATAGAAAAAAAACAGGCACAAGCACTCAGGAACAGGCAAAGCAAACCTACATTATGCAAGCAGAACTACCATGGGACATGCCCAGCTAGTCTAACATATCCACTTCAGACCTTCTGGGCATCATGTGACAAGTCCCACTCCAACAGGTTCCTAAGACCCAAGTCTTAAAACATCTCTAAGGCAATGAGCTCTGTGCTTGAGGTCTCCTATCTCGTCTCTTAAGATACATACACGAAAAGTGCTCACTTGCATGCCCTATCAAAGCATCACTTGCTGAACAAGTTCAGGTAATGTAGGTTTTCAAACAGGGTGCAATACACCTGAGGAGAGATATTAAATAGCATAACAGCATTTGAGGAATACAGACTGGGATTACAGTTGTGAACTCTGGGTAAGAAATAAATGAGTATAATAGCACAAAGTCAAAATATGCTTGTGAGTAATAGCAGGGAAATAGCAGGTAAGTAATTGGAACCTTTTAGTCCCTTTTTTCTGCTACAACCTTGCAAGGAGAAGCAAACAAGATGGCAAAGAGCCTGCAGAGAATGGATGCAATCTCCATCAAAGTGGTGATATTACCTTTCACTAGTCTGTGATGGACTTCATCTTGGGAACAGAGAGGAAGTTTTAAAGAACAAAGCCATCAAGAACTACTGAGAAAGCAGCAGGACACTGTCGCAGGTGAAAAAAGGGATGAAATGTCAATGTTTTTTATTTCTAAAGGGTTGACAAAACCAATCCAGCACAAAACCTCCAAACTCTGCAATGATAGCAGGTGGGGAACGGCAGGGAAGAAGGCATGAAAGAACAAGTATTGGCTTCCAGAGCCGAAACAAAGAAAGGGTAATGAGGCATGATTGTCTTTCACAAACATACAACAAATATGAAGAATTTGCTACTAAGGCAAGTCATTGCCATGTAAACAAAATGATTGAGGATTACAGAAAGAAAAAGGGAGAGGAAAGAGCAGCATTTCCAAATCTAACAAAACAAATGGATGCATTTCCAAGAAAATGCTACAAAGCAACGACAGCAATAATCAGCTTGTTTCCTTCCCCAGACTTTATGGTCTTTTATTCCAAAGCAGTTATTATTTTCAGAGCTTATGATGATCTGCTTATTAATCACAATAAAGAGGAGAGGAGGATCTCACTTCCCTTCGGTACAAACAGATGTGACAGAAGTCCTGCACTTCTGCAGTTTTACAGGTCTGCTGCAGGAAATATTCTCCTGTAATTCTTGACAGATAAAGAATAGTCAAGCCTTACCATTTGCACCTCATTGTCTGGATTCACAAAGAAATCATATGTTAATTCACAATAATTATACAGTTTAATCAGCAAACAGCACCGAAGAAAGTAATAATCACAACTGAACAACAGAGTCAAATAAAGGAAAGATTGAAATGAGCAAAAAGCGCGTCAGCTCTTGGAAGTTGTTCCTACACATCATGCTTGCATACCAGTCCTCTCAGAGATAAAGATCAGAGTAATTCCAAGTTCTCTTTCAATGTTACGTCTATGAGAGAAACCAAAATATTTTCATTCATACGGTAAAGTATAACGAATTCATTCCAAGGCATCATCCTGAGGAAGAAAATTAACAGGAAAACTAAAGAGATTTCAGGCACTGAATATGATTAGAGGAAAAAAAAGATTTTTTAATTGAAAATAGAAGAAAAAAAAAAAAAGCCTGGAGCAAAACGGTTGAGAGAACTTGTAAATAACAGGGAGCATGACAAAGTCAAATGAACCAGGTAAGGATAAACCAGACAATTGTTTGAAAGATTTATCGACATCTTCACCTACATACTATTTCTAAAAATCCTAAGTCTGTACTTCCATTAGCACAGCCATATCCAGTGAAGTTTGTCTACAGTGCAAACGGGTTCTACTGTGGATAATCATAATCTCCTTACTGAGCAAAAACTGTTGTAATCTCATTATATAACCGGGATGCCAACTCCTTTACTTACCACTACGCCTGTCTTGAAAAGGAGGTAATGGACAGTCTGTGTCACATCTGCAGCATGCATTAGGTTGTGATAAGGGTTTTTGTGTTTGCTGTAGCCAACTTCCAGAGCTTCCACAAAGGACACCAGGGCAGAAATGGGGATCTGAGTAAAGCAGCACAAAATTAAAATCAAAATAATCATCTGTAACGGCTAGCATTCAGAGGGGAGCATTTTGATACAAGGTCCCAAAGAACAGGTTGTAGTTGACAAATCCATAACACACTAAAACATCTGAAACAGGCATTCAAGAGAGTGAATCCAGGTTACTTCCTCAAAGTGGCTTTCCCATCTCTAATTACATTATGGATGAATCTTTCCCACACAAACAAGTAGGTATACTACGGAATACCGACTTGAAGACACATGCAGTATTAAAAGTAACAGAGAGCACCTGATTGATTGCTTCTGGAGGAGTGTTTCTAATTAGGCCACAAGCATCTGTCTGTCCCCCTTATAACCTATTGGAATATATATCTGCTCTACTATTCACATTCAAGATTTTCTAATGAAACACACCATATAGCAAGTCTGACATACCCTATTAAGAGCAGTATCACTTATCAGACCTCTGGTTTTTCACGGCAAAATCCAGCCTGCCCATCCTATGGGCTTGCCATGCTTTTCTGGCTCCAAGAGTAGAACTGCGCACACTTCATAAAATGCAATTCAAGGGATTTCTAGAGAGGAGACTATGCAGGTGGTGTCAGCTGCAACATATGCAACTGGCAACATGGGTTCTCCAGTTTCATCTGCTCAAATGGCAAATATCCTAAACACTTGTATTTCCATAGTTAGAGGAGCACTGTTGTTCTCCTCTTGGGTACATATCAGGGCAGGATGCAGTTCTAACCAGTTACCTTCTTCACCATGTCTCATCAGGCCTGGCCAGCTCCTGAAGAAGTACAAGAGCCAGAGATCTGTAAATCCTTTCCACTCAAAAAGAGAGTGGGGACCCCCAGGAAGCAGAAGTGTCAGTGAAGAAAGGGACAGAGCAGAGTATTTGTGTGGGGAGAATGATCAAGGTCTGAGAGCAAAGTTTCTGCCATCCAAATTTAAGCCTGTTAAAAGCTGGAGGAAAAGATAGGTAGCATTTGTATGTGCAAACCTCTGTAACAGTTCTAGAATTATAGAATAGTTTGGGTTGGAAGAGACCTTTAAAGGCCATCTAGTCCAACTCCCCTGCAATAAGCAGGGACATCTTCAACTGGATCAGGCTCCTCAGAGCCCCATCCAACCTGACCTTGAATGTTTCCAGGGATGGGGCTTCTATCACCTCTCTGGGCAGCCTGTTCTAGTGCTTCACCACCCTCACAGTCAAACAGCTCTTCCTTTTATCTAGTCTAAATCTACCCTCTTTTAGTTTAAAACTGTTACCCCATGTCCTATCGCTACACTGACTGATAAAGAGTCCCTCCCCACCTTTTCTGCGGCCCCCCTTTAAGTACTGGAAGGCTGCTATAAGGTCTCCCCGAAGCCTTCTCTTGTCCAGGCTGAACAACACCAACTCTCTCAGGCTGTCCTCACAGGGGAGGTGCTCCAGCCCCCTGGTCATCTTTGTGGCCCTCCTCTGCACCCGCTTGAGCAGGTCCATGTCTTTCTTGTGCTGAGGGTTCCAGAAATGAACACAGTACTGCAGGCAGAATCGCACTAGAGCAGAGTAGAGGGGCAGAATCACTTTCCTCGACCTGCTGGCCATGCTGCTTCTGATGAATTTGAATCCAAGCTCCCTTTTTTTGCCTACACGCTTTAGAGTCCTTTGAGTCTTATGAGAATGACACCATCATTCCCACAGGATCTAATGTCACATTTCCCATGGATTTCATGGGGAAGCCTGTTTGTGACCCAGTCTACTTCATGGTGTCCCATTGCAATTAAAAGTACTACTTAAATAACATTTGGTCTCACTTACCGGGGAAAGTGCAGTGTCCATGAAGCCTTCAAATAGTGCTAAAATTGCATTTTGAGTGGAAAAAAGTGGAATTTGAACAAAATCCAAGATGGAAGAAGAGACCCATCTTCTAACTACTGACCTTGAAACGGTTGATCAGATCGTAGCGTGTGAGAAGTTCATAGAAAATGAATTTCAGTGCATGATCCCCACTGGCATCATTTAGTGCAAATACATCAAAGGACCATTTGTCTACATTCTGCAAGAGTGGGTAGAAATGACAGTTAATATGGTCATCCTTTTAACAATGACAATTCACTTCTATCACTTTACATCCTCAAATGGAGAATTAGAGTGGCAATGTTAGTGTATAGCTTTTTTTTTAACTTCTTCAATTCTATTTAACCAATGCAGAGTCTAATGTACTCATCAGTATTGTATGAGTCGTGTTTAAGAAGCTTCCATTAAGAACACGTGTGCTGTTTTTTTATTCTAAACACGGCGATTCTCCACAACAGAATTTAATCAGAAAAGGCCAAATCAAAAAAAGGTAAGAATCCTGGTTTGCTTTAGTACCTGAAACATTGGGATGGCCCTATAGTGGTTGATTTTACCCTTCTCTGTCCCCTACCCACATGCTATGTCTAGGAAAAAGAATGTTAACTTTGCAGGAAACAGGAATAACAAAGATATGCTTTTTAATTATATTAAAGCCTCTGGATTTTGCTATCCCTATAGAGTTCTTATGACTTTGTATGGTGAGCAAAGCACTCCAGTGCTTCACTCATGCTTAAAACAGAGTAAGGTGACATGTTTTTCTCAGTAAAAAAAATACAGCACCTATGGTCATATTTTTACCACTTACTGTTCAATCAACCAAAATAATAACTAACTAGAAGAACTACCTTGCTAGACCCAAAGAGCAACTTAGTTCCTTCTGATTTTAATATTAATCCTGAACTGTGATTATTGCAGCTTATATTGCCCAAAGACAGCATGACTCTAATTTTCCTCACTTTTTTAAAAGATAAGTGAGTCCACTGGGGCTTTCAGAAAACTACAAAGCAGGAGAAAATCACAGTAATGTTACATTAAGGGCTAACAACAATATAAAAACCAACCTTTATAACAGAAGTGTAAATATCTAATTCCAGTTGGGAAAGTCCTAGGCAGATGTAAATGATATATTAATGGTGCAAGGTGGTCAGTCAAGAGATTGAGGAGGGAAAGTTCACTTCCCAGCTCATAAAGCTAAAGTATAAAGTATAAACCTTCTTGCAGAAGGTTGAACTCAAATCTTGACTCTTAAAGAAGGCTGTGGGAGCTGACATCACTCATTACCTAGGAAGATAAAGCTCCTTGGTCTTAGAATTAGATGTTCCTGAAACCCTATGAACCTTTCTCTTCTCCTAACAACAAAGAGGGAAGGTGCAGAAGGAGTTATAGCTAGAAGAATGATATACAGATCAGCTACGCAGCTGCATCTGGCACAGGACCAGCTCTCAATCTCTCTTGCCTGCTGAGAACTTTGATGTACTTCCCACAGGGATTTATCCAAATGACTCTCCTTAAACCACGTATTAAAGATTGACATCTGTACATTGAAGTTTCCCTCCACTTTCAAACTCTGTTGCAGGTTACCTCTCATTTCCTTGTGGCAGTTTCACCAAGAAAGAAAGATGACTACATTTCACACATGCATGTGCACAGCTGCTCTCAGTGCAAGAAATCAGCACTGGCTAGACATAATGTTGAGTACTGTTAACAAATAAAGCCCTTCTAAAAATCTGCCATCTTTTCTAGCAATATTAAAAATGCTAAATTACAATTATCTACCAAGCTTCTAAAGCCCAGCCCACCTTTGTTGTTTGTTGTCATGGTCATGTTCTAGGTAAGGACCTGACTGCAAGTCAAATGCAAAGGACAGTGACCTTTAACTGTCTTGTGGTCGGCCACCTGTGCATCAGCACAGCTACAGGACTTCTTATGTTCTGAACAAGATCAACGTACTTTGGCACTACCTCTCTCCAGCATGGGCTGATCCTGACAACCTTGCTACTTGCATAGTGTTGATTACACAGAGCTGAGTATGCCTCTTGTGGAAGTACAGTCCACAGAGAGGCTAATCAGTGAGTGAATATCAAGGATTCTGAAGATTCAGCTCTGCTTTCACCTATCCTTGTAAATCACTTGCTTGCTGAGCAGTTGACATTACAAGCTGTGTAGAGCCCACACACTGAAGGCAGGGACAAGCCTCTCCAGAGGTGATTTGTGGCACAAGTCACAGAAGAGCAATCATAAATCGCAGCTTTTCAACACTTTCAGTACATGCTGGAGAGCAAAAAAACCCAAGAGAAGAAAAAGTTCCAGCAAGAAAACAGCCCTTTGAAGCCCTTGAACAAACTTAGAAAATGGGCAAGAAAAATAATGCTCAAAGCATCCACTCAGTCAATTTTAAGTATTTTCCTGTTTTTTGAACGTTTTTATTTTGCAATCATTTCTCTTAGTCAATGAAGCAAATTAACATTTGCATGTATATAATAATTTACTTTGGGGTCCTATGGCATTGAAAATGATGTCGCCTCAACTATGCTGAAATTTAATTCACTGTAAGGCAACCTTATCTTGTAGAAATAAAAGGGGGTTGTTCTTTATATATTTTTTCTGTAGTTACTGTTGCACTCTTGCAGCAGATAAAATTTACCAAATTGTGAAACTGCAGAATAGAACATCAGAATTGTTCTTTTGCACAAAATAATGGTTAACCACATAGTAAGTTTCACAGTAGAGCTATTTAGATCTTACTGAGGGAGAAATCCTTGCTCTTGTCAAGTCAACAGAAGTTTTGCTATTGACAATAATGACAGCAGCGTTTTACCCTGAATAACTAGGGGGAAAAATCCTCTTAACAGAAAGTGTCACAGATGGCTTAGAGGCTTGCAGCAACACCAGTTATGCTTTGAAAATTAGTGGAGTTTATGACCTTAAAAAAAAATTTAACACAGAAGTGACCCCTATATAGGGGAGAGATCTAAAGGGAGGCAGAACTTCACAGATGTCTTGTGATGGAGAAGAAAAACTGTCTCTTCTCTCTAAGGGGAGCAGGAGAAGAGAGAGATGGGAAACTTTCTGTTTCCCTTCTACACACGTCTGCAGGTCACTGGCCCTTTACCCTCAGCTGAAGTGTCATAAGCCGCACTAATGCCACATACACTCACTGTAGTGTAACTGCAAACAGATCCAAGGTGTCTTACTTCTCAGTCCTATGTCCTAACTACTTGGCCATTGCTCCACTGCTTGGGGGAACTTAGACATTACGTGAAACTTCATTTCCTCCTAAATGCTCAGTTTCCTGCCTTTCTGTCTGTCCTTAACCCTGGAGACTTGATTTGTTCTATAAGCCAACAAGCAGATTCAAGGATAGATGTTCATCTGTTCAATTTTACTAGAAGGGCTGACATTTTGTAGCCACAGACGAGCAGAAGTCTATACTGCAGACGTTGTAAGTGACTACAGGTTCTATGTTTATTACCTGTACATTAGCTAGCACAGAAAATATTGCCATGACAGCATGAGCATCAGAAAAGGCTGAAAAATTCAATTCTAAAGCAGGCAACTACTTCAGCAGCTAGTTAATGTGATGTTCTGTCTCTAGCTTTACACTGCTGAATAGCAGATCACCACAACTTACTGTGTAAATTAACATACTTATTCAAACACATCTGCATGAATGGTGCATATGTTCACTCTTCAAATGAGAGACAAGGCTGATCATCCCTTTTGTGGTAACAGGTCTTACAACATCACACCCATGTCATGCAGAAAGGCAACAGGTTACTGCAGTAGAAATATCGGTATCCAACATATAGACAGATAGAGAGATGTTGTGCAATCAATTTAAAAAATTGCCTAACTTCTCATCCACTGGAAAAGTGAGAGAGATTTTACACCTAGGACTTGCACGTCTACTGCTCCACCTGCATTTTTTTGCAGAAGCTGCAGTATTTCATCGTTTTATTAAAACCAACCTCATTTTGCCAAGCTGATTCCGCAGCTTTGAGTTATTCAGTGCAGATGTCCTGTTGGCCATGGCAGGAAAACCAAGAGCACATAATGCAAAAATAAGCTAGTTTTGACTCCATGTCATCTCAATCTTTGTCCTTATTAGCATTACTCTGAGGGGAATATTGATTATAGTAATCCAGAACAGTTGAAGAGATGTGGTGGTACAGTCCTACACCCTTTTGTATGCTTAAACCATCAGCTCATTTTACAGAGCACACCAGCCAGGTAGTTGCAGGGGTTTTTTTACTTGGCTTTACTGGACTGAAGTAAGCAACAAAATGTACCATTTTCCATTAAGGAGATGTGACTGAGAAATTTAAGATTAAGTATTATTTCAAAGACAGAAGACTTATTCAAAACAAGTAACTCCCATTTCAGCCACATCCACTAGCAAACCCATGGCCATTCAGGTAAAGACGTTCTCAAAATAGTTTTGGAAAAAAATACATCCTAGAGTGCAAGGTGGCCCAGTGGGTGTTATTTCACCCTGAGCAAAATTAGTCAATGCCTGTGTTGTTACTGATGTATCTTACTCTAGCACAATCAATTCTCTTTATGACCCCTAATAATTTAAAACAGAATGAGGAGAGGGATTCTGTAAGGTTTAAGTCAGCTAAGAGTAGCTGATGGGTCTTGCGTTGTCTTGTTACTGCTGAGGAACTCAGGAGAGGAGGTACCATTATAGATATGTGCCCTCATAAGCTGGCTATGAGGTGTAGCTCTAAAAGAAAAAAGACTTTAGATCCCATTTGCAGGAGTGAAGCTAACACTTGTCAACCTGCAGTTGGAAAAAGGTGCGGGCGCATGCTTTGATTCTGTACACAAAAGGCATGTTTGATCATTCTTCTTGTATTCAATGGACTTTCTGCAATTCCTCCACATCTTTTGATGGGTTGTACTTTCCAAACCAAAAAGCATTCAGTACTGTAACTATAGGTCTTTCCAGTGTGGGGTAGAGCAGCAGGATCACTTCACGAGTTTTACATGTAATGTCCCTGTTTATGGCCCCACTGTGTCACCTTTTTTCACCATTGCATGGCATGGTTGAACCACATGAAACATGTAATCTGCAAAGCTGCTGCATAGGCAGTTGGTTGCTAACTTGTGTTTGTCGTCTTGATAGTTCCTGCCTAAGTCAAGAACCTTGCAATTGTACCACGGATTGAACCTTTTTTTTTTTTCCACTTTTTACTTCTGACTAATCAGTTTTCCTCTGAAATCTCAAAACCCATAAAAGGGTCATTATTCCTAAACTGATTGTCACTTTGAAGACCCAAAGCTGAGCAATGCAAGAAATTCCCTTCTCTCACAGAAACTGATACTTTTCTTTCTCCACCACTCCCCATCTGTGTTTTTTTTCTTCCCATTGGGAGGTTGAGATTAATTCCAGCATGTTACTAAGTCCTCAGTTTAATCACCATCATCTACAACAGAGATGTAACCTTCACAACCTGAAAACAGCCACAGCCTTGAACTCTATTCTTTTCTTTATTGAAAGGGTATACCCTTAGGCCAGTAAATGATTAATGTATGTGAACTAAACTAAATGTCAGAGAGAAGTAAAGGGCAAGTACAAAGACCCCCTTACCAAGTCAAATATTGCAGTGTTATCTTGATACTTTGTACAGACACACCCCCCCAACAGTTTTTTATTGGGATTACCTTTAGCACTCCAATTACAGCTGGTGGGTAGCTCAAACCGACCATATTTGAAGTCCGTCTGTACATTCTACCAAGATAAAACAGATAAAGCAACACATAAATAGAAGTAAACAAAAGAAAACAAGCAAAAATCATAAAGCAATAGAACATTATAGGAGAACTTATTTAGCCCAGGAAACCCTAACTGCAATTCGCATTTTTTCTTCCTTCTTGTTCCTAACTTGCACAATGTTCTCTACACGATTCTTATTGTATAGCCTAAGTTGAGACTATACAGTTCCCAGTACCTCATAGCTCGGTTACCTGGCAGGACATCACAGAGAATCTGCCAATATCAGGTCTTCATCAGAGGGAAAGGCTATATTTAAATAAACAAGATGTTCCCCGTTTTCCACTGCAGATGACCATACTGCTCTTTCAATTCCCTTGGTCCTTGCTGGTCTACACACAAGCTAATTCTGCATGCACTTCAGAAATCATCTGTTATCTGCAATGAATCAACTCCAGTTTAGTACAGCTGTCACTTTTGTTTGCATTTTTTTAAGGCTGGTATAAAATCTTTTGGGTGTTTGTCATGTGTGTGTGTTTGAGGGACAGAGAGAGAAAGAATAAGAAAATAATCAACATCTGCAACCATACTAAACAAAGAACTGAAGTATGTATCAGATTTTAAATTGTTCTCAGGCCACGCTGTGTTTAACAGGCTTGGTAAATGCAGAAACACTCATAGCTAAAATGCCTTTCTGCAGGTCATCCATTTTTGCACTTAAGCAACATAGGACTCAAAGGTGATGATGGAAAGCTCTCATCTCCCATCTGAAACGATCCTGTGTGAAGTCTTCCTTCACTTCCCTTTTTCTTTGTCACATTCTGCACTCAGATCTGAAAAAAGTCAGCCCCCTTTGGAGAGCTGAATTCACCCACTCCCTGAATTACAGAATTTCTTACCCCCTCCTCCCTCCAGTATGGAGCCCTATAGCCTTCTCTTAAGTGACAATTCAGGCACTGTCCCTCTCCCTTAGCTCAGGAGACCCACAACCTTCCTCTGGTGCCATATCATATCTGAACACTTCCTCCTTTGGGCCACAGTGATTCAGATCAGCTGGAAAACAGCCTCCTGCAGCCAGCTCTCTACAGTTCATTTACTTCCTTGTTGAGCAAGTCCCCCACTGAGAGTGAGGGCTAATTCGCAAACAGCCTGTCAAATCTAGGAGAAACCTGTTCCAAGGAGAAATGACAGGTTTAGTCTTATCACAACTTGCTGCCACTCTTAACATATGTACAGTAACTTTGGTACACAGATAAAAAAATTGTCTATAGACATGCTGGAGGAGGCTTCTGTGTGGCTTGTGGTCCACTGCCTGATACACCCAGCCTCCTGCACAGAGGGCTGGTAGGTTGTCACTGCGATTCTGATGAACTGTGAAGGCACTCCGCTTTTCCATTCCTGACTTGAGTTTTGCTGTAGAGACCTGGGACCTGCTGTCTTTCACGCTGCCTAAAGTCTGCTGACAGCTTCACATGCGCCAGAGTCCTTCTAGCTTGAACAAAGAATGTCAGTGAAGAGTGGTTACTCAAAACCAGCAGATAAGATTGGAAGTGAGTCCAAATTGAAATGACTAAATGTTTTAAAGGCTTCAGAAAATAAAATCAGTTTTAGCAGCAGGTTCTGATGCAAATCACCACAGAGAAGGCTGAGAAGACTTAATGAGTCTTTTGAAATCCTCCCTAAGCTCCAAAGTTTTCACATCAGTCTTAGTCTATAGTTCATTCCAGTAATACTATGATACAGGATTTTCTTCTGTTTCTTAGCAGTTCTTCATAAGAAATACTAGATCGCAGAGGCAAGAGAGGACTTGGTCTGGGCTGACCGCATTTTAAAAGCTATCACTCTCGACCTAGGGCTATGCAGAGGTGCATATTCTCTGTTAAAATTATTTCAACTGTGCTATTACATCTGTATTATGCTAAGAACAGATCAGTATGTACTGTTTCATGTTGCAATCTGTTACTTAATCCCAGGCTTCAAGGTGTTATCCAGATTTGTGTAGAAACATCCTTAGAAGCGTATTAAAGTATTCTTCATTCAATAGAGTCATCTCCTAGTTGCCTGAGGACTTCTGGAGTAAAGTACTCTCCTCCATCTCCTGTCACTGTGCCATCACACGCTACAGGTGCAATCTGCGGTACCAGGACAGCTACTAGAACAAAGAAATTACATGCTCCATTACCTTTCCACAAATATCCCAGCTTGTACTGCATGGACAATACTCCTGAACCGGGGTTTTTCTTCTGTCCTTTTGAGCATCATCCCCATTTGCCGTGTGAAGGTAGAAGCCAACCAGTCCCGAACCTCCGAGGGCACAGAGTCAGATTGGATGTCACTGAGCTCATCTTCTGTGTCCAGTAAACGCCTAGAAAGGGAAGGAAAAAGATGGTTAAACAGACTCCCTTGGAAAGCATTGCAACATTATTAAAAAAAAAGAAACTCACATATATTTTAATTAAAGCAGTTGTTAAAAGTCTTTGGTTCATCAGCCCTAACGGAACACAACTGTGCAAGTCTTCAACAGATTGTTTATTCTGTTGTATAGTTAAAAGTCAGATTGAGAAGCTCACTACTAGGCCGACAAACTAGAAGTATTGGCCTTCTGACGCACAACTACATAATCGTCCTCTGACTTCTCATCTTCAGCTCATCAATATTCCTGACCTTTCTGCCGTTCAGAGCTCATTTACGGTCATGTCTAACTTCCCAGTTAGTATCATACGGTCCTCTCCTTTCCCATTCTGGTCATCTGAGGTGACTCTACAAGTGCATTTAGCACTGGGAAAATGGAATATAACAGAGAGGGAAACTACTCTGCAACATCTTACCAGACCACCTCTATGGTGACCTGCAGTAAAACTTTTTTAATTTCAAAGACTTGATACAAGTGAAAAGATTTTACACTATTCAAAAGGAATAGAGGAGTAGGAATTGAGAAACTTTCAGAAAAAGTGGAACACAATTATTATGAAAATATTTCTCCAAGAGAATATATATCACATGTATGATTGCTTTTGACCTCCTCCCCTGACCCAGGAAACTTAAAGAAGCTTTTAGACCAAGGATTGAAGATCTGCTCTACACAGAATACAATCTTTTAATGATTAAAAATGTATTGTCTGTGAGTAATAAATCTTGTCTAAAACAACTTTGCCAACTGATGTGTAAATTACAATTTTGTGTCATTAGCAGTAGATATAAGAAGAGTGCTGATGCCTGTAGTTAACTCACCTAGTTTCGTCAATGTATACTGACTCAAGAACAGTTGCAGCATATTCCAAATTCTTCTTTAGGTCTACAACTGAAGCTTCCCCTCTCTCTAACTGCTTTACCAAAGACCGCAATCTAGAGAAAATTAAAACAGAAATCTGATTAGTACAAAGCGAAATTGTTTTAAGAGTGAGCGTCAGTTCAAAAATGGTTCCAGCATGAGACCTAGCACACATGGTTGGCAGGTGAAAACTCTTGGAAGTGTACAAGGTTCTTTAAGCCATGTACAAGAAATCAACAAAAATCACTTTTCAAAGATCAGTCACAATGATGCCAGGCAAACATTACATTATATTTAGGCTCAAATAAGTCAGAAAGTTATGACTGTCCCCTACTCACACCGAAATAAGTTAAAATAGAAATAACTTGGAATTTAACACAGGAGCTAAGAGAGGGCAATTTCATTCCAGCCATAAGAAAGAAAATAACTTCTTGAGTAGCATCTGTCGGCAAATGTCAGACATTTATTATGATTAGTGTACACATATGCAAAATTGTATTATATTTAGAAATACTATTGCAGAAATACTATACAAGGTTAGGAAATGCTATGATCTTCATTACATCAATAAACAGAGGTCAGCCTATATCCCATCTATATTAAACAGAACTCATGCAAGTTTTTTTGTCGGGTTATTGTTATTATTGTGGGAATAAACTTTCTGAAAACAAAAATTTGTGCAGAAAATGTCTCCTGTGTCAAAGACAATTAATATATTTATGCAATTTTTGGTCTTTTCCTCTCCTTCAATCTACGTTCTGTGGCAAATCAGAAAAACAAAAAAAGCACAGAAAGAGGAGAAAAAAAATGTAAAAGTAAAAAGTAAAACCTAAATGTTTTTAACAATCCAAGAATATACATGCTTTCACAATGCCCCTGGGGCATCAGTGCTTTCAGCAGAAATCGAGTCTCCAGGGGGCGGTATTTCATGGCAGAGCTGAGGAGCTGCACCAACAGCTCTTTCCAGCTGGGTTTCCTCCCTTCTCCCTTTTCTCACATAAACAGTGAGGCTGTAGAGAACAAAAATCATGGAAAAATATTGGCTAGGTCACATAAATGCCACTCCTACTGACAGTGGTACTGCTGACACACAGCTACATATTTAGCTTTACAAAGAATCCTGAGTAAGAAGTGGACCCTCCACTACCGGGAGGATTAACTCATCGGTTTGTTGGCAGTCGAAAAACAAAAATATCATTCATGCTTCATTCCTGATGTGAGAATGGAGATTGGAAGGTCAGTGATGTACAAATACACTGAACACTACTCTTCTCATCTCTGTAAGCCAAATGGAGAGCATTCAGCTATGCCACACATTTCCCTCCAATCCTGGAATGCAGCTTGGGGAACCAATGGAGCAACCTCAGCCCAATGGAAGAAGCAGGACTGTGCAGTGCTTCTATAACCCTCTTCTGTGTAACTGCACCACCAGGTGTGAGCAGCAACACATGTTTGATGAGCAGAGCTAGGAAAGGTGCTCCCCCACCTTTCAGGTTGATTCCAGACTCAGGCAGCACACCTGGAAGATGAATTCACCTCCTCCCTAGAGCTAAACCATCGATCCCTCCTACCCATTCCCAGTTTTTCTTGCCAATGCAGGAGGGGAGGAAGAGAAAAAAACAAAACAACTTTCATGTTCAAACAGTAAGCATTGGTTCATATGCCTCCTCCTTCCCTTATCCCGTGCATGGTGAGTCCAGAGACGTGACCCCTTAACTAGTTACCAGAAACACTGTTTGTACACAAGTCACAGGAGTCAATATTGCAGGAGCAACATTATCTTTGGCTCTTCCTGACTTTCATATAATTGATTTAAGTACTCGGCAGCTCTATGCCACAAGTCATTCAAAATTCATGTTCAATAATAGCACAGTGAGTAACGGTTGCTTCATGGCAACATTCATCATCAAAGAAGATTATGCAGAGTACTGCGTGCATCAATCATTTGGAAAAACAGAAGTACAGTTGTTATAATAAAACCTTGTCACACTATCAACCACTCTTCTGTGAAAAAAATTATGTTGTCTTTGTCTTACCATTCATTATCTGTAACTATTTCGGATTCATTAAGTCACAGCAGCTGCTGCCAGTTACCTTTACTAAACAAGAGCCCAGTGACAGTTTGTCTCTAATGCATTCCATGTATCTCCATTTTTTGAAATACTCCTAAATGCAATCATAAAGTTAAGGCCAGGTTGTCCCACTGAAGGCCATCCACGCAAATTTATTAGCTGAAAAATTCCATTTCAGGGTGGCTGAAGTAATTCTGGAATTCAATCAAATTCACCAAGCCGTTTTGACTGAAATAAAAACATTACCACAAACTTTTAACGTGTTTTCTTTTTAGGAGCTTGTCTTAAAGCAATGGAAGCAGAAGGCAAGATGCTGACTTCCTGTCTTTGCCCCATAGACAAGTCAATGCAGCAAGTGAGTAGGGTTCAGTCACATGTACCATTTCACAGGAAAATGCTGAGTCTGTCAGGCTACTGACTAAAAGAAATGTACTGATCTAATTATCATAATTAATTTAAGGAACCCAGTTCATCATCTACTTTGCCTTTATTGTAACTGTCTGTTTTGTACAAACAAAACTCAGCCAAAGCATGTTTTGTTCTGTTCTGGTTTAAAAAGTTCATTATAGACTGATCAAAATCTAATTTTTCATTGTTTCTTTTTTTCTGTCCTTTTCCTTTCAAGTTCAGAACTAAAAATTTGCACAGATCAATCAGACCTATTTCCACTGAAGCCCACAGACGTAGTTGTACAAGAAGCAGCCAATTCCTGTGCATAAGGAGATCCCAGGCTAGAAGGGAGGTTTTAAGCATTTCTAATATTAAGCTGTCTTAAGACTGTGGCACATGCCACAAGCGAGCCAGGCTGTAGGTCAGCCAAGTTTCTCAGATTATGGTCATCAGCACAGCAGTTACAAAGAACTAGTTAGTCACACTATATTAGCTCAAAATCGAGTTGTTTAATTATATTAAGATACAGCTAATGCCTTTCTTAATGAGATTTCCAATGGAAGCTATTCCTCCAATTTGCAAATTCTCTGTGAACATGTGCCAAATATTATGGAAAAACTCTAAGGGCCTTTGTTCTACTCATAGTTATTTCACATTTTAGTCCTTGGAATAATCCCTTAACTGCCCAAAGAAAAAGCCTATTCGTGAGCAATGCTACGCATTTTAAGTTCCTCTGACCCCACAGGGAGCTCAAGTAGGTGTAAAATCTTGGAAAAGGGCCAATTCCAGAATACAGCCTCCCACACTGCCCTTCCAAGGAAAACATCTGTATGCACCCACCGAAAAAAAACCCTGAGAGTATCTACAAATAATCCTGCTGAAAAAAAAACTGCTGAATTCAGCAGAGCAATACATTTGTGTGAAGCGGGCAGGTTGGGTCCTCAGTGAAGATGAGAGTTTATCCAAAGTGTACGCTGTTCCACAGCTCCGCTCCTGCTCTTTTTAATGGTGCCCTAAAGTACTAGCTACCATAGGATTCAGGGAGATCAAAAGCAAATGACTAGAAACCAGTCAACTGAACTCAGTTCATTAAAGTCACACAGCTCAAAGACCCAAAGCCCCTCTAGATCCAACCTGAATATCAGGAAAAAATGAAGCTGTTTTCAGCATGTTCTTGAAATGTAAAATTTCTGAGTAACCGCTCCAAGCATTCTCCTCTCTGTTATAAATAAAACAGTATCTGTGTACAAATATTTATCTCCTTAGCTAGAGGGCTTGCTTTTATGCTGTTGATTTTTTTTTTTTAAATAGCATTACATATCACTGCAGAGAAGATTAACACCACCGCAGTCTGGATACCAGTCAGCTTCAATTAACATGCAAAGCACACGTATTGTCTGAATACTTGGGGCAAGTTCCTTCAACTGGTGTAAAGTCTGCAAAGCTGCATGGCTAGTCTCTGCATTTATTTTTAAAGATTTATGACTGTGATTCATCACACGTTTTCAACAATACAACTCAATCTTTTCCTCCAAGAGTCATTCTCATACCATTGGGCCCACTGAGGAATAAAATACTTTGAATGCACATTAAAAATAAAAATAAAAAATACATTTCTAATATCATCACAGATTACCAAGGATGGAATATTTATACCTGTTTTACTCTTGATATTAATGGCTAAACAGTCTCATATTGACAGCTGAACCCGATTAATATGTTGTTTCAACCATGGTAGTCTACTACGTGACAGGTGATGTTTGTAGAAAGCAGAGAGACTTTTTATTATACCTGGGAAGAGGGCAAGCTATTGAACACATCACTGCTAGAGCTGGTTAAGTACTCTCTTGAGCCAACATTCTTTCATCAATTGTCACTAATTCTTTGAGATCAGAAGCTATTCGCAAGTCTCCGCTAAGTCTGATGCGAGTTTCATTAAGAAAGCCTGCAGGGGATTTTCTTATTAAAACTGAGCCCTGACCATGCATCGAAGGCCCTCGCCAGAGAGGGGAACCCTGGGCTGAAGTGACTGCTGCTTGGTCCCTTTTAACACATACTGAAACTGGAGATCCCAGAGCTGAGGGAATCATCTTTGATAGGTCAGTCCTAAAGAACAGCTTGGTGGGATAAAGGACTTGTGCCCTACACCAGAAAATCCTCACGAAAAGATTATTTGTCTGGGTTGTGAGTTCTGAAGTTTGCTACAGATACGGGTTGGAAGAAATTACTCAAATTTTCCTGTCGCCCACCTGAGGAGGAGGAGCAGAAGGTAGATGTGGTCCACACCATGCCAAAAAAGGGTTTTGATTTATCTTTCTGCAAAATATGAAAATGTTCTGAAAAACTTTAAGAGATTTGAGCAACATTAGAACTTCCCACGCTCGCTAATAGTGACACAGCTAGCTAAAACGGGTTACTGGCTTCCTGCTGCAATAACCCCAGGAAAGATGTGTCATTCTTACTTCCTTTCAAAGATATATGTAGTTCACATACACAAATAGAGAAAACCTTTTCATAACACTAAATCATTCCACAGCTACAGCTATACATGAGAATGTCCCTTCTCAACTCTTTTGTGAGAGTTTTACTGATGTCCCAGGTTTTACTTAGGCAC